ACTCATCCGTTTGTGCAGTAAATTGTTCGTTTAAAATAACTGAATCTTCCACCTCAAATCTTACCGTATAAACAACCAATAGTAGAAATTGTCGCCCCACCCACTAGATCCCACCACATTCGAGTAGGTAAATTAGACACTGTTCACAAAGATCTTCTCTTGCAAAAGAAATTCTTTCCAAAAGTCAGTGAACCCACCATTTTAACACCCCACCCACTAGATGTTACCTTAGATACACCAGTACGTAGAGCTGCCATAGTAGAAACTGTTGACTGTTTTTTTTGTACATCATACATAAATACAAATAAACATGGATATTTACAATAACAAACAACTTGATATACAATATACACTATTTCACGTTTCACTGATCTCGCTGACTATATTATTAAAACAGATTCACACCACGAACACAGTTAGTAAATATACGCCATTTTGTTTACCATTTACTCAGGGTATCCCGCGAGTGCTTGTTCCTATCCCGGTCTGTGAACAGCACATATGAGTTGATTGCGCATCAATCTGATTAAACACAGATCCTATTTCGTTTCGTTTTTTATAGTTCAAAATTTCGATTTACTTGTCTTTACTACGCTAGGTAGTGTAGGCCATCGAAAGTATAAAAAACGAAACGAATTAAAAAATCGGTGTTTTAATCAGATTGATCACAAACCACTTTATTATAACAGAATCTCATTGCAGTTTATAAATATACGCCATATTGTTTAGGGTTTACTTAAATTGTTTGATTGGCTTATCCTGTCGGCCGTCTGGCTCCGGAAAGAAGACTTAGTCTAAAGCTATAGGAATGATAAAGGTAAATCGAAATTATAGGAATTTCCTGATTCCCCTGATCTTGAAATGTCACCAAAGGAGCTAAATCGCTAATATTTGGGACCTAGAAACTGGCACAAATGAGTCACAACTTTTTGATCCGCATGGTCTCCAGATAAGAATATGGCACCACTGACACCACTAACCCTAACCCTGGAATATGTTTAGCCTCGTTCTTCGAGTCCCTTGTTACAAATGGCACTGAAACGCATTATAGTAAACAATTCGTGTACCAATGGTAAAATGTTTATTTTGTCTTAAATATTGGATATCAGTAGCCCACCTTTTCCCGGCAAGATCACAGCATCAATGTTGATTTAAATTGACAAATAATTCGTGTTTTTAATGTCGAAGACTGGATGATATTGGGTTAGAGACTTAGCTAGTTTAATTTGATCTAATTTTATCAATCCACAGTGACAAAACAAATCAACAGATAAAATCCAAATAAATCGATAATTTTATTTTTGAAGTGAGTAAAAGAGGAATATCAATTCAAAATATTTGGGTTTTTTTTATCTTATAAGATATTTTATTAAAGCTCGAGAATGTTTATAAACTTGTGGTAATGCTAGGTCCCCACTGTCGTGCCATGCATCACGATAGGATTGTCACTATTGAGTCCATGATCGGATACGTGCAGATACGATCAACACGATTGCTAAGACTGACCACATCATTATGATAAGACACGATAGGTTCACCACGATTACTCCACGATTTAAACCATGATTTCAATCGTAGCGCGAATCGTGATAGCGATTATCCCACGATTATAACCACGATTTTAATCGTGGCACGAATCGTGATAGTGGGGGCCTAGCATTAGGCATGAAATGGGGTTTAACGTTTCTGCACCGACCGGGATACTAACGATGGCCTACTCTTATTTGGGTTCTTTTACTAGCACGCCAACACAGGACTACACAATTTTGTCCCAGTCGAGCAACTAGATGCTTCTCCTGGCCAAGACCTCCGTCCTTCAACACTAACGAGATTGGGATACGATCTAACACTAACGGAATTGTTTAAAATAAACAGTTCTGTGTTAATAATGTTATTGCCAACAAACCGCTTTCTACAAATTACACACTCGCTTCATTTGTTTTTATTTTACAAACTTCAGTGTTTCCTAAAAACAAAACAAAAAAACTTGTAAATAAATCTTAACCAGAGATAAATGGAAGAGAAGGCAAAAGAAATGTGAAAATGTTTATAAGCGATGTTCAAGCTAGTCCAATATTTTATAAATATCCGTAATAACTTGTACAACATATGTCGATAAGAACAGAAACAAGTGAATAGGAACATCGTGGGGGGACCGCGAGCAATTAGTAAGAAGAGACGAAGACTTATACAGCGAGCCCGAATGCAGCAACTCGAGTCTAATAAGCTAATATCGTTGGATTAAATAAAGTTCGTCGAGTTCTCCGAGTAATTATTTACATGTTTAATAATGTATTATATATCCTATCATATCTCCTTCTCGACTACATAGCTTGTTAAATTGTTACACTGACGCACCGTGAAAAAATTAACAGCGGACGTCGGAGTAAACACCATCTTATGGGACATAATTAGTTCACAGATTCGACTGACACATTGCTGTCATTTTTTTTCTCCACTCAAAAATGTGTCTATGAAATGATTAAAAACAGCAATGTGGTTTTGATGAAGAAATGATTTTAAATTGTTGAAGTTGCTATACTCTCAGCCCCCAACCTTCCCCTCTTTAAATAATTTAATTGGACCGCAGTTTCTATCATTACTAACCGAAGTCTTGAACGTAGATCATTTCGGGACAGACAAATGGTTTATATTTTGTCTAAAAAAATTAACTTGTTGGGAAAAAGGGACGATTACTAATTATGAAGTAAAGCATCGTTGACCTTAAATATGAATGAATATAGGCCTATTTAAAGTTATTCATGTCCTGTAATGTATACACATCCTGTAACTTCAGGCCTCCCAAATTCGACCCCCTATTTTCTACAACCGCCCAACTCCCTCCTACCTATATAACCATGGGTTGAACTGAATACATAGCATGCCGGGGGTGGGGATGGCCGAATGGTCATTGAGTCATCTGGCGTGGTTTCGATTCCCCGGTTGTACGTGACAAGGTGTAGGGTTGCCTGTAACCTCGTGGGTTTTCTTCAGGTCCTCCGGTTTCCTCCTACTGCTAAAGACCCCTACGCGCAAGCGAATTATTGAAATAAAATTGAACCATATGTTAGTCCCAAAATGACCTAGTTTGTGTCGAGTGGATGTTAAACCCCATCTCTCTCTCTCCCTGAACTTTTGAATACATAACATGCCACCCCAATCCTTCACAACATGACTCGTTACATGAATGAGAAAAAAACAGCGTTTTGATATACGCGTTTCATATATGCCACATTATAAAAAGTTGATTTGAATGAAAATAAAACTAGATTGAAAGCAGCCAGGGCAGGTGTTTAAAAGGTGTTATATATATATATTATTACATAGCAATTAAACTGTTAAAATTACCGCGTGTTGTAAGATCCATTTGGCGGCCTTTTAATGTCATTTGTAAGACCATTCATTTTGATTTGACGAGAGTTTGACAGGATTGAAAGATGTTGATATTTTGTTTTCTACAGTGACAAGTAAAACATAAGGTGTGTTAAGATAAATAATAATATTATTATGGAGAGATGAAGGATAGTTTTACAGTAGTATAGAGGGTATCATACTACCACCCTTCTCTCTCTATCTATCTATTTCTCACTGTATCATTGGGTGCAATTTACTTTACACGTAAAAATAACACCAGTAAGTTTGTGATGTTTGTGTGTGTATAGGAGAGAGAGAGAGAGAGAGAGAGAGAGAGAGAGAGAGAGAGAAGGATGAAATGGGGTTCGACCTGGCTAATGAAGACAGGCATACGCCATATGAGGGAAATTTTGCCCGCACAGCGGCAGTATGGCCTACTCTTATATCGAATTTCAACTGCCAAGGGATATTTTACTTGCACGCCTCGTTTTTTCGTCCCATCCGAGCGACTAGACAGCTATCCTTGTCGGGCCCTCCATCCTGCAACACTCACAAGGGAGGGGGGGGGCTCCTAATATTCTTCCCAAACTGGGCTAATAAAGACGGACCATACACACTCCAGTGTGATATGAGGGACATTTCGCCCGGATAGCGGCGTTACTGCATGTATAAATCAATTTAGAGTAAGCGGGAACATAGTACACTACATGGTGTATGTTAGTCTTTATTATTTCAGTTGGTTCTGAAAAATAGCCTATTAAGCCCCATCATTTCATTTGGTCTTGGTTAACTGCTAACCAAAAAGGCAATAGGGTTTGGTCATCAGATGTAAGGGGGATAACTCCATTTATCAAACTCCTAATCAACTTTAACACACCCAACGTAAAGCCGTAAACTCTGGAAAAATGCACAACTTAACACAGTCCGGTCAAGTACGTCTGGCTCTCTTCTTGACCTTCATTTTTATGTTTTACGTGATAATTTTTATGTTTTAAGTGATAATTAAGGGTATTCACCTATTTAGTTAGAGATGTCTTACCCCTAGATAACAAATCTCATCTTGCAACCCTCAGTATATCTCAACGTTTTTAGTATACGTTCTCGTCGCTATCTTCCCCCTTCCTGGCTTTATTGATGGCTATGGTGATGGTCGACATACTTAGTACCCATTCTTGGTCAGTTGTGGTTTCAGAGTCGTGTTTAATGCCATTGGCACGCAATTGTCTGTTTACGATCAGTGTCAAATGTATGACGTGGCTTGGATATCCTACATGTTGAACACCCCGTAAAATATCTTTGTGCTAGCAGAGTAAAGAGGACCCACCCCCACCCCCAGTATGAATTTTGGAGTTTGTGCCCTCAAGGACACTTGTTCCTCACGCAAAATCAGCGTCCACTACACCCTTGCAAAAATAATACAATCCATAAATCCTTGTTACCCACAGGAAAAAGACCCCCACCCCATCCAATGATATGAATATTGCGTTTTTGTGCCTTCATGGAACCTGGCTCCTCATTCAAAATCAATGGTCACCACGCATCTACAAAACTAAAGCAGTCCGTAACTTCTTGATACCCTCAGGGAAAATCAGCACTCACCATGCCCCATGCAAAACTATCCACAACAAAGTCTAACTTCTCGTGGATTGTTTTGAAATGTTGATGTTTATTTTATTGTACAAAGCTACAAGATTTCACCATATATATAGTATTATAGTATGTATGGTTTAATGATCGACAGCCAGATATTAAAGTTGTTGTTTCAATATATTACACAATGTCTTAAGCTTGAGACCATTAAACAACTTAAAATACAGACACTCGCACGTACTTTGCAATGAAATACGTCTCACGGGTCCAATATAAATAATGTACGCTTGGCACATTGCCTGTACCATTATTTAATATGATACGCGGTCATCAACGGCTGACGTCACATCCGTATTTTATAGTAGAGTGGTGTGTACACATCATGATGATATATTATTTTATTTAATGAGAGGAGAATTTCAAGTCCTGGGCCCTGTTTCTCAAAATCTTAACTTAAGATAAAAATCAAAATTTTGGTAGATACTTCAATTTTGATTGGCTAAGCACTAAAATCAATCTAATATTATCCAATCAAATTACTGAAAATGAGTTAAAATTCCGTGAAATGGGCTCCTGTGTTTTAATCAGATTGGTTGAGTAAATTGGGTACAATATTAGTCAAAAAAATGCAAATGGTGCTTCAGGACTTTAATACAAGGTTGTGGCTTTATTATATATTTATATTAAACCAAGATATTTACATGTTAGAAATATTTACACTAAACCTTCAGACAAATATAATAATAGTCACCATATAGCACTGTCACTTAATTTTATAATTCAATATATGATAATATGACATTAAGAAAAAATGTTTATTAATAACCCACATTTAACATTCTGTTTCCCAGATACATCTATATCATCAGAAGACTCAATTATCAAGTATAAATATTATTCACAATAATAAATGGCACTGGATAATCATGCTTTGCTATAAATAGAATAATGAGATACCTGTTTTGAATTGAAACTAGTATTTGTAAGAGGTCAGTTGGCCCAGTGATCAATTAACATAATAAAAACCTCTCTTCAGAATTCGTATTGTTTTTGTACAACTGTCTGAGAATCAGAATGATTTAAGACAAACTTTAAACATATATTCACTGATGTCTAGGCCACAGTTACATTTTACTTCATGTATAAAATATTTGTTGGTTTTTTAATTAAATATTTGTATATCTCCCCTGATAATTCATCTGATCACAAAATATTCCGAATCTGTAGAAACGATTTCATAATGTAACAAACATAACAAATTATTCTACTTCAAATAAATTCATAATTTATTTTTTAATTCCATCTTACAGCCGCAGTTTGTCGTTAATGAGATTTTGAATATTGTTTAAGTTGGATTTCTATGAGGAATATCAGGACAATAATGCTTCATGAATTGAAAATTCCCCAGTTTTCAGTATCCTTTACACACTATTGATATAAACAATTCGATTGGATCCACAATGAGAGAGAAACAGGGTTTGACATCCACTCAACACAAACTAGGTCATCTTGGGACCAACACGTGGTTCAATTTTATTTCAATAATTCATTTGAAGGTAGGGGTCTTTAGCTGTGTGTGTGTGGGGGGGGGGGGGGGAACAGAAAGACCCAGAAAACCCCCACAAATTTAGACAGGAGATCTCACTCCTTGTCACGTACAAGAATTTACGATTTTAACGATTCAGTTTTTATCTACCATTGATGTTAAATAAATTTTAGCGTTGATTAAGCCGTGAATAGTTAGATATTGTCCTAGAAATACCAACAACGATCAGTGGCCTTAGTTCATTCATCTGTCAGACATGTTGGACTGATAAGATTAATTAATTTAATTAATAATATACAAAACAATGTCAAATAAAACATATATCTTTAATCAACCAAACAATTGTAAAGGATTTCTAATTCAAGAAATTATATGATTCTATTCATGTATCTCCAATGTAAATACACAAGACCATGACAGTCTGGAATAAACTATTGTAGTTTATAAAACATGGAATTTTAATACTTGAACAGCAACACATTAGTAACAAGTTTATAGACATGCTATGTTTTAACGATGTTACTCTTGTCTTTATCAAGTTAATAAACCAGTAATTGTTATTCTATATATATCAGTTTTTAGTGTATCGAATACAGAGTGTTGACTATACGCAATCACAATAGTTGGCCAGATTCTCTGTGTACGTGGCTTTTAGATAAACTACTGAAACAATGAATACAGAGAATGTGTTGACTATTGTAGTCTATGACACTAGTCAATACAGAGTGTTGTATATACTACTGGTGAATATAGAATATTATATATACAAGTTGTTTGGTTTACTATGATATATATTGTGTCCCCCATGATGTACGAGTTTATAATGATAATAATATTTACAATAACAATAAATATACTCTTTCTTTAATCTTCTAATAAATCTTCATCTAAATTTACATCCTGAAATAAACAAATTAAATATATGATCACATGTGTAATACTAGGTAGGAGAATTTTGCCTAGACAGCAACCCTATCCTCCTCTCTTAATCGAATTCCAACTTTGAGGGAATGGATTGTTTCACTCCACTGTGTACATGGGTGATACTTAAGTTTTTGTGACATCCGAATAACTAGAAAACACTTTTCTTGATCGGTTCTCTGGTGTTGCCACCACAGGATTCAAAATTGGGATAAGTGGTATTAGATGTTCTGGAAGCATACCCCCCCCCCTGATGCACAGCAACAGCCACAACTTGTAGCCAAATGGCAAGGCTTTCCAAAGTCCTTTAGATTTATTTAGGAGCTTAAAATAAGAGAGAGAGAAATGGGGTTTAACATCCACTGACACAAACTAGGTCATTTCGGGATTAACATATGGTTTCATTTTATTTCAATAATTTGCTTGCGCATAGGGGTCTTTAGCAGTGGGAGGAAACCGGAGGACGCGGACAAAAAACCCACGAGGTTGGACAGGCGACCCTACTACTTGTCATGTACAAAGGAGGAATCGAAATCACACCAGTTGACTCACTGACAGGCCTTATGATACAACACGCCGGCGCTAACCATTCGGCCATCCAACTCCCCTTTAAGTGTATCAGAATAAAAATTATTATAAAATGAACTTACGGATGTATCGATATCATCATCTAATTATAAAATGAACTTACGGATGTATCAATATCATAATCTAATTATAAAATGAACTTACGGATGTATCGATATCATCATCTAATTATAAAATCAACTTACGGATGTATCAATATCATAATCTAATTATAAAATCAACTTACGGATGTATCGATATCATCATCTAATTATAAAATCAACTTACGGATGTATCGATATCATCATCTAATTGTAAATTATCTAAATCTAGTTCAAGTTCTTGTTCAATTTCCGCTGCTGACCGAGAACTGATGGGATCAGATGGTTGAGGTTTCGGGGCTGGGGGTTTCGATACAGGGACCGGATCAGGTTTGCTTGGTTCCACTACTGGCTTTTTAGATTCTGTTTTAGACTCGGGTTTAGATGGTGGCTGCAAGGAAAAATATTAGAGAAATTATGTAAGTTGTTGTCAATGAGTAAAAAGATAACATCGGAAAACGGCATGTTAGGTCGAATATGATCTAAAATATTATGGTATGATTTCATTTTAATAATTCTCTAAAAACAATGGAGTAGACACACACACAAACAAAGCCATTATGGGACTAACATATAGTTCAATTTTATTTCATAATTCGCTTGTGCATAGGGGTTTTTAGCAGTGGGAGGAAACCGGACGACCTTGAGAAAATCCAATAGGTTGGACAGGCGACCCTACTCCTTGTCACGTACAACCGGGGAATCAAAACCACGGCAGTTGAATCAATGACAGATTTTATGATACAGCGCGCACACGCTAAGCATTCAGCCATCCAAGAGCCTGTAGAAGATAGATAGGCACTATACTCCTTCTCACAAGAACAGGGTCCAAACCACATCACTTGTATTGATAACAGCTGTCTTGGCCACACAATTACCATGACCGTAACATATAAACAAATAAATATACCTGAGAAGGTGTTTCGAAGTTATCATCATCATCGTCATCATCATCTTGCGTTAATCTATCAATTGGTTTATATTCAAATCGACCAGCCGCTTCCGCTTCCTGCATCTCTTCCACCGTATTACGAGAGCTATTTTGCTACAAAAAACAAGTTAAGAATACATTATTTTAGCACTATAGAATAACTTGCAAACTACAATATTTTGAAAGTTGAATCTCTAATAGGAATATCAGTTTTATTTTGTTCAATATGTACAAAGATATGTGGAATTAAAATATTCATCGATCTGTGCTGCCCTTTATGCAATAAACCCTCTGCCATTTTATTGTCTGCCAAAATTTAATGACAGGCCCTTTTTAAATATAAACCGGGAGATTATCTAGCATCGATATTTTGATTTTATTTTCTTAATTAAATGTTAAATGAATCTGCGTACAGATTAGCTTGGATTAAACCCTGCGTACATATTAGCTTGGATTAAGCCCTGCGTACATATTAGCTTGGATTAAACCCTGAGAAATTTGATATTTAAGCGACAAATTCAAATGGTGCATCAGGAATTTAAGGTTCTTGCAGTTCTAAAAGGGTTGAACTGATAAATATCAATAACTCATAAAATATCTGTGCCATCACACATCAATACGAGCGTGTACTATAACCGGCACTGTGCATGCCTAACGATATTAATTTCTTAATTAAACGTCATATTAAGTAGAGTTCAGCTTGTATTTATGGGAAAAATTAGATATAGTCTGAAAAGTATACGATCACAATTTAACAAAGCAACTTACAGGAACTTGTGGATATTTATGAGCTGGTAAAACCAATTTTCTCTGTGGTTCAAGATATTGTTCAACTTTAAAAGCTTCTTTAAGACCCGGGAATAGATTCTCATACTCCGTAGGATCAGCGAGGGAATCAGCAGATTTTTTGTTGATCTTTGATAGATGTTCACGCCATAACGTTACAACTCTGATAAAATAAAATAGAATATATTAATATTTAACATGGAAGGAAATGGAGTTTAACGTTCTACTTCTCTGTTGTATAACCAAGCTGATGAAAATAACCATACACTATTCAATGTGCTCCTATATGATACAAATTCCAATCCGATTAAAGAGAGAGAGAAATGGGGTTTAACGTCCACTCAACACATACTAGGTCATTTCGGGACTAACATATGGTTTAATTTTATTTCAATAATTTGCTTGCGCATAGGGGTCTTTAGCAGTGGGAGGAAACCGGAGGAAACCCACGAGGTTGGACAGGCAAGAGGTCATATAAGTGTTTGACCCTATGACGTCAACATTTGATTAACCAATCAACGTTGATGTTTCTAGTGGTCCGATTACCCACAGTTCAGTGCAACTCACGCCAAAAACTCAAATCATCCAGAACGCATGTTATATAACAACTCTTCCAGATCCTAGTGTAGTAAAGACAAGTAAAATGAAATTTTAAACTATACTATTCAAAAAAAGTAGGGGATATTTGATTTTGGGGGCATAATACTAAAATATGCAAATGACTACGAAAAAAGTCACTATATAACCTAACAGAAGAAACATTTCCAGTTACATGTGACGCCCAAACACACCAATAGCTACCGCATGGAATGCAGGTGATGCTTGGGATCATCATGGGGGTCCAACCCAAGATTTGCACGACTCTGACTTTGAATGTTACAGTCATTGTGGCATTGAATTCCAGGGTGGAAACATCAGTTTAATTGTTTTAGTGACCAGAAAACAAATTTTGATATGCGTCGGCTTACCCAAAATGAAAGGTTACGTGCCCTTGGCATGCTACAGATCGGCACAACACAGGCGGTTGTGGCGCGGACGATGAATGTTTCTCAGTCTGTCATAAGCAGGCTATGGTCCAGATACCGTGATACACAATCTGTACAGGACAGACCACGCTCAGGTCGACCAAGGGCGACAACTCAAGCCTAGGATCGATTTATCCGTACCTTGGCCTTGAGAAATCGTGTCATCACAGCAAATCAGATCAGCGCTCGTCTTCAAACAGACACTGCTGTGAGAGTGAGTGGCCAGTCGATTCGGAATCGACTGCATACGGGTCACCTTCGCGCCCGACGTCCTCGCGTGATCCCTTGTTTGAGAGATCATCACATTCAGGCAAGACGTCGTTGGTGTAGGGATCGTCAACACGGGGATAATCGACGCTGGAGCAATGTGATGTTCTCAGATGAGTCAAGGTTCACTGTTGATTTTTTGGACAGACGTAGGAGGGTGTGGCTTCGTCGAAACGACCGCTTCCAAGACGTTAACGTCATCAGACATGATCGATTTGGGGGTGGTTCTGTTATGGTGTGGGGAGGCATCACTGTTGCTGGAAGAACGGCTTTACATGTTGTTGCAGGGCGTGTTACAGGCCAGTACTACCGGGACAACATCTTGGCAGTCCATGTTGTGCCGTTCGCACGACGTCATGGCCGCCGTTTCATCTTCCAGGATGACAACGCAAGATGTTACAGAGCCAGGATCGTTACAGGTTACCTCCAACAACAGAACATCACCACATTACCTTGGCCAGCACTGAATCCCGACCTCTCCCCCATCGAGCATGTCTGGGACATGCTTGGACAGAGGTTACGTCAACGTCAACAACGTCCTGCCAATGTCCAAGAACTTGCTGCTGCGTTGCAACTGGAATGCGACAATCTGGACCAAAATGACCTTAGACGTCTCATTAGGAGTATGCCACGTCGGATCAATGCTTGTTTGGCAAACAGAGGAGGATTTACCTGTTACTGACTTGGTTGTGATGCTGTGGTAACTTTGCTGTTTGACCCCGGGTATCATTTTACCCTTATAATGGTCAGTCTGTGCCTTACTTAGTCTAACGATCATTTGGAATAAATCGATGAATGTGAACTTCATTTCATTTTGTCATTTGTTTCTTCGTCAGTTTCATTAGGTGACTTTAATAACACTTAAAAATCAAATATCCCCTACTTTTTTTGAATAGTATATATAAAAAGGAACGAAATAGGATCTATGTTCTAATCAGATTGATTCAATCAACAACATAAAATGTGTTCCAATTATTAAATGCCATTGAAAGAATATATTCTAAGAGATATATGTGTAAAGATTGATCAACCTGCCGTGATATTTGTGTAGAGATTAATCGACTTACCGTGATATTTGACTAGGTAAATATGTTCGGGCAAAGAAAGCAGCTTCTGGTAATCTTCCTGTTTTTATTAAAACTTCTAAACATTCCTCTAATCTACAAATATAATTAAAATATATTTCAATTATTTTGAATGTAAAATAACGAGTCAGTGGAGATCTGAAATTTCTGCCATGAAACATGACTAACAGATAACTTAACTTAACATATTACATTTGATATAGCGCACAATACTGCCATGCATTCAATGGCGCTTCACAGTCTTACACAAACGTTAAAGGAATGCTTTACGGAAAAAAGTATGTTTTTAACTTCTTCAACCAGTCAATTTCACTGTCAGTCACCGAAGACTTGTAAATATGATTGAAACAAGAGTCACCTTTACCAGCCCAGTTAAACTACTTATATATAATATAGAGAAAGAAATGGAATTTACGGACCACTAGACACAAAATAGGTTATTTTGGGACTAACATATGGTTTAATTTTATTTCACAGGAAACTGGAGGACACAGAGAAGACCCACACTTAGACAGATCTAAAGCGCTTGTGTTCCGACAATTCAGTTAACACCCTCCTCCCTCCTTAGACACCAAATAACAATCAGAAACAGTGCTGGGGGACTCGGAAAAGACCCACACTCAGACAGGCGACCCTACTCCTTGCCACGTGCAAGCTGGGAAACCAAACCATGCACTTGTCTGAATGAAAGCCCTTCTGATCTAAAGCCCATGCGTTCAACCATTTGGCCACACACCCCCCTTAGAAACTAAAAAAACAATCAGAAATATTACTCACCTTCCCATAGTAAAATACGAAAGGAATGCTACATTATTTTGTCCGGCTTTTTCTGCCGTTTCTCCGAGACGTGCTACCATCTCTCTGTTACCAGCAGAACTAGCCAATAACATTAAACCACCAAAATCTTGAGCATGATGTAAACACTCCTGGGCTAAACCAAACTCACAATTCTTAATGGCTAACTCAGATAATTGTTTCCATTTCTGTTCAGACTGAAAATTCAATAACAAGATTTATTATTATTTTCTATATTTATCAAACAATTATCATATTTTTTATATAAACTATGTTCTACTCTCAGAAAGGGTAGAGGAACAGACTGGGTTTTTTATATAAACTATAATCTATTCTCAGACTGGGATATTTATATAAACAATATTTTAATCTTAGAAAAGGATTTGAAGAATAGGCTTCTTTTTTTTTGGATAAACAATATTTTATTCTCAGGAGAGGACTGTAAAACAGGCTAGGCCTATATTTCATCTAAAATAATTATTCTTTGGAAATTACAAAATCTATTTTTAATTAACATAAAAAGTATGGGATCGTTATTTGCAGTTTTCGGAAAATATCAAATTTTTCATGGCTTAACCCATTCGACAATGCACCTAAATTGATTATTTAACATTTAATTAAGAAAAGAAAATTCAGAAGCAATTGGATTGGAAAGTGGCCCATCAAAATATTTTTTCCTTGTTTATATAGTGGCGTTGGTTTGTTTATATTGTCTGTAGAGGATATCAAATGTTGAGAAACTTTCAGTTCATACTGAATGGAATTGAACCCTTCCTTTCGAGTTAGAGATGGGCATGTGCTACACAGTGTGCTATGACCGAATTTTTCTCTTATTTTGAATTCCAACTGTCATAATATTTTCTAGAAAATACTCACTAATAAACATAATGTTTTTGCAGGGTGAAACTAATGATCTAAAGAACTAAAGTTTGAGGATGAAACACAAGAAAATCAATGAGGTTATAAAATGAAGTAACTTACCTCTGTTTCTTTTGCTAGTTGATATGCTGTTTTTAAATCCCCCAGTTGTATGGCTAGTTCAAATTTATGTTCTGGATCACATGTAACAGCTAAAGCTTGTGATTTAAACCCCTGAAATAAAACAATCATATTTAATCTTCATATACAGTAAAACCTGAGAGAGAGATGGGGTTCAAAGTCCACTCGACACAAACTAAGTCATGTTGGGACTAACATATTGTTCAACTTTATTTCTATAATTCGCTTGCGCTTAGGGTTTTTTAGCAGTGGGAGTAAAATCGGAGGACCCGGAGAAAACCTGTGAGGTTGGTAGGCAACCCTACTCCTTGTCACGTACAACCAGGGAATCAAAACCACACATTTTGATTCAATGACAGGAATTGAAATGAAATTGGGTTAAACCTCCTATTGTTCTGCCCGACTGGGCTAATCAACACAGGCTTACGCCATACAGGGACATTTTGTCTGGACAGCGGCACTACGGTCTACACTTACATCGAATTCCAACTGCCAAGGGATCTTTTACATGCACGCCAATGTATACACAGGAGCTCGGTTTTTCGTTCCATCAGGCTCTCCATCCTGCACCACTAACAAGCGGAAACCAGCCCGGAAAATATCAAACTTTCTCAGACAACACCTCCAGGCTAGCGAGCCAGCATCTTACTCACTTAGCCACCGTGGCTCTCCGCACGAGTTAGGGCATAGCTTTTAACAATGACAGTTGATTAAAACCCTACCTGTTTCTCTAAGAAATGAGCTACACGAGTTCGTTGTTCCCTGGGTACTGTACTTAATACTTTATCTGCCGTATCAAAATCCCGTCTCATGACAGCTGTTTGATATTCTAACACTGATACCAGTAGACTATAACTAACGACGTTTAATTCTTTATCACCCAGGTATAGACGATTTTCTTTCGGTATATAACCTAATAGATACATCACTCTGAAAAATACAATAAATATATTCACTCATGGGTCATATCTAACCATTCAATAGACAGAGAAATAGGGTTTAAAGTCTTTAACTCCATTTCATTCACAGTCTTAAACATTGCAAACACGACTTACTCGTCAATTTAAATCAATATTAATGTTGTGATCTTACCGGGAAAAGATGGGCTTCGGGTATCCAATATTTTTAGCAATTACAGTAGAAAGAGAATTGATTGAATGTAAATCTAGGTATGAAGAAATAGAGATTGAGGTCCTTTAAGAAGGTTGGTTCGGGACTACATGTAGCATATAGTTCAATTTAATTTCAATAATTGGCTTGCGCATCTAGGGGGGGGGGGGGGTTATTAATGGGTAAACTAGAGGATCCTGAGAAAAGCCACAAGATTGGATAGACAACTCTACTCCATGTTCCACAACAAGCGGGGAATTAAAACCATGCCACGACAGACCTTATAATCTAAAGCGTATGTGTTAAACCATTCCGCCACCCATCCACTCAATTAATAAATTAAAGATAAAGCAGGAAAATTATCTGGCCATTTTGAAACTAACGTAAGAATGTTTATTTTTTATCAAATTCTACATCGACAAACCACTACATTTCTGCTTGCATCATTACATTCCGTCCTGCACTACTGACACGCCACCTGGTTAGTGGGCCAGCGTCGTAATCACCCGAGTCACAACAGCTTCTAGTGAAACAAGATTAGATGTTAATCTTACCTATCTAGATGAGCAACTGTAACTATTTCACCTCCAACATAATAATTTAATCTGTTGACACTGTTTGTATAAATAAAACAATCTCCAACCCATATACCAGTTTTAACAACCTCTTCTATCTCACCAATAACCTATAAATATAATCATTATAAAACTCTCTGTCCAATAACCTGTAATTATCATTCCAATATAATATAATTATTATAAAACCCTCTGGCCAATAACCCATAACATAATTATCATTCCAATAACCTACAATATAATTATTATATAACTATCTCACCACCTATAACATAATTTAAAAGCAGTAGAAGACGACGACAACTCTCGTAAGGTGAGGTCTTGGATAGCTGGAGACTAGTGATCGGAGGACATCTGTACTGGGATCTCAGCAATATATAAAGGGGTTCAGGAAGAAGACGATATATAACAAGACGCAACCCCTTTTAACCAGTATTGATCAGACGAACTCCATGGTTAGAATGAACGTCTAATCAATAAACCTGTTCATTCTAACTATGGAGTTTGTATAATCTACACTGGTTACAGGGGTTGTATCTCGTTCTATAATATAATTATTATAAAACTATAGCCAATAACCTAATTATAGAAGAAACGGTATATCTCATTAACACAAGACTATTTGAGACTAACATATGGGTTTGGGTTTTTTTTCTATTGTCAGGTGTGCGATGTTTGGTAGCTTAAGTTTTCCCTGCCCTGAAAGCATCATTTCCACCAGTCTTCTCTGAATTCCAATTGTCAAGAATTCTTTTACATGTAATTTACATCCAACAGACCAGGCTAATCTTTACTAGTCAGTTCTTCAATAAGGTCAATGCAACAATTTTATTACAAGAGGTGGGAATTCAAGCACTGCGATGCGGACAAGAGTCTGGTTTAAGTCGCCTCAAAGACTCAACTTGTGATTAGATTTAAAATATTTATTTTAGACTTGACTCAAACAGTTGGGACAATTCTTGACTTGAGTGGCAGCAAGTGGACATAAATCTAACTTGTTTTATTTCATGAACTTGAATTGAAATGGGGAGTCGACTCGATACTAAAGTCATCAACTTGGGAGTCAACTCAGCTCCAACGTCAGTGACTTGGGTCTCGACTCGGTACTAAGGAGATTCACTTGGGACACAACTCAGGCTGGAAGTGCCACGACATGGGACTTGACCCGAGGTCCCGTGTCTTGTTTCCACCTATGTTATTTACATATCAATATTTTTACCTCAAATGCATCTTCGATACCATCTTCTGTGATTCCTTCTTTTGTTTCCTTGGCGTTCTCCACAGCTTCGGGACTGTAGCGTAAAATAAAGAATGATTCATCTGTTGCTATACAAACCAGATCACCATTCTCACTCCATACAATCTAAAAAAATATAAACACTCATGTATCACACCCAACAATTAATAATAATAATGTACATTTGAAGAGCGCTAAATCCATCCAAGAGCATGCCCAGAAAATGCTGTTGCCAAAATAAGCTGATTCGACACCATGGTATTTCTTCCTATTTGACACAAATTTTGGTTTTTGTCTATCAGGTAACTTGCAAAGTTTTTATTTATTCGAAGATGATAGATGAAAAAAGCAAATAATTTGGTAACAACTATCCTTTGAAAGATGTGCACGAGCGACTATCAACTCACGCAAAAACACGTCTTGTGGCAAGCCATGATTAGCATCACTATTTGGGTCACATAAATAGCATCAGAACTGTCTTCATTAGCCCAATCAGAACAGAACAGTAGGACATTAAACCCTGTTTCATTTATAAAGATATAGAATCATGAATTAATTTGTTAACTTACACTTTTAGGTGTGATTTCTATTCTTCTCACTAGTTCTGTTGAATCCCAGTCATAGAAAGCTAAACCACTAACAGATCTTACACCTAACATAAAACCTCCATAAATACCTGATAAATAGAAACATTATAAACAAGTCACAAGCTGTCAATACGGATATAGAAGGGAAATCACAATATAAATAAATGTATATTCTGTAAGTTTACTATGAGTAACTATAGTATGTTGTAATGACAGGAGGTTCAATGTTCATCAACACATTACTTTGGTCATTTTGAAACTAACATATGGTCAAATGTACAATGTTAAGGAGTTTTGCCAATACACAGTGTTCTGTCTACTATCAAGTTCGAACTGTCAAGGATTATTTTACGTGCACACCTCAGTTTTTTGTCCCATTCAGAGGACTAGACAACACTTTACATGTCAGTTCTGAAAACGATACCAATGACGATTGTCCCGAAATACTTCTCAGATTCAAGTCTGGTAATTTCTAGTCGAGAGTATGGGACCCTTACCACTCAACTTCTTGCTGTATCTATACAGAGAGTAGACTTTAAATAAAGATAGAGCAAATTTATCACACTATGCCTGACAAAATCTTTAATATGGATTAGTAGATGTCGAAAAAAAGCAAATAGCAATCAGTGTCTTAGTACATATTCATATTTTTCAGCTTTATTCCTTGCTTACCTTCAGCTCCGAAGTCTGGTTTAAAAGATTTTAATTCTTTAAAGTTTTTAAATATTTTCACCATACTGCTTCCCTCTCTGATAGCATAAACTGATGCATCGTTACTCCAACAGAATTCCTGGGCTGAACCAAAACTCTTATTTCTGAGAGCCATAGCTGTGTAGATTATATACTCCCCATCACCACATACAACCACAAATCTAAACGAGGGAGGGAAAAATAATTAAATTAAATATCATGTTGATTTACAAGTCAGGAATCGGAACCAAGGTACTTGACTCAATGATAGACCTGTTAAACCATTGGGCCAGCCAACCCCCAGACATTTTATTAAACAGTCATTGTTTATGCCGCTAATCTGAATTTCGACCGAGGGGAGGTTTTTCTCCCCCCTCTTAAATTGAAAATCGCTCTCCTTTACAAAGTCATGGGTTGTTTATTATCATTTATGAATCCAGGAATGACACCGCCCCCACCCCAACATGCAGTTATTGATCTTCAGAACCATTTCCCAAACACACAACTAATCACTCTCCTTAATATCAGATCATTCTCCTTAATTTCTAAATCACTCTTCTTATCGAAAATGGGAGAACTTTTTTAGGAAATGAAATGAAATGGGGTTTAACGTCCTACTGGGAATCGAAACCATGCCAGTTGACTCAATGACAGACTGTATAATACAGCACACACGCTAACCATTCAGCCATCCAACCCCCTCACGCTACGTCTTGTTAAAACTTCAAGCATTTATAACTTTGCTCAGAATAAAATAATTTGACAGAAGTTTTCAATATATCCAATTTTCATAATCTATTTTGAACTATTATAACAAGAATGGCCAGCTCTTTATCTAAATCTTACATAATGTATCTTTAATAAATGTAGTGACAATATCCTAAAATGACATTTAGACGTAGCGGTATAACATTCATTAATATCACAACTCTACAGATTTACTAAGCCTTGGTTTATTAATATGGCTTGATCAAGATACCTGTAAGAGTATTGAAACGTTGTTTGATAAAGATACCTGTAAGTGTATTGAAATGTTAATAATAAGGAGTCTTATAATGTGCTAAAATCCACATCACCATAGGGAAATGCTCTAAGCGCGTTGCATGTAATAAACCAAGAACTAGTAAATCCATAAAGCTGTGTTATTATAAAAGCATGGACTTGAATTATATGCTCACCTTCCATTAGGATTATGTGCGATGGCTTGTGGATATATTTCACAGCTTCCCATATCTTTGACAGCTAGAGGTAATCTTTCTCCATCCTTGATCTCTTGATCTCCCATAGCCTTTATATTAGCTTGTTGAATCTCGGAATGTTTGGCCCAGATTATTTTACCACTTGTATCCATAGACATGGCGGGTTCTTCTCTACCAAGCTAGAAAAACAAACGAAATGGGTTTAATGTCCTGGTGTTCCGCACCGATTGAGTTAATGACAATGGACAGACCTTATGCAGTGTGCTATGAGAGAAGTTTTGCATGGACAGTGCTGCATCGGTTTACTGTCAGAGGATCTCAATCTGATTAAAACACAGATCTGATTTCGTTTCATTTTTATAGTTCAAAGTTTCGTTTTACTTGTCTTTACTACACTAGGATCTGGAAGAGTTGTTATATAACCCACGTTCTGGATGGTGTGAGGAATTAGCCAATGAAATGGTCTGTTACATTGAGTTTTTGGCATGAGTTGCATGGAACTGTGAGTAACCCACTAGAAACACCAACGAGTGGCTTTTGACCCTATGACGTCAGACATTTCATTAACCAATCAGCATTGTTGATTCTAGTGGTTTACCACAGTTCCGTGCAAAACACGCCTAAAGCTCCCGTAACAGACCGTTTCATTGGCTAATCATACATCAACCAGAACGTGGGTTATATAACAAATCTTCCAAATCCTAGGGTAGTAAAGACAAGCAAAATGAAATTTTAAACTATAAAAAACGAAACGAAATAGGATCTGTGTTTTAATCAGATTGATATGTAATCAGAGGATCTTTAACGTGCACTCTATAAATACATTATAACAAGTAAACTATATCTTCTCCCTTTCAATCAAAAATTCTAAAACTACTTTAAAGCACTCACCTTAATAATAATACTGCCTTCATCATAACCTAAAGCAACATTATTTGATCCTTTTTGAGACGATATTGTCCAGACTCTTTCTAACCCATAATTTAACGTACTTTCTAATCTGTATGTGTTGGCGTGCCATATTCTTACAGTACCTGGAATAGACAATAATACATTCAGTTAAAGAGACGTAATGCAACATCTAAAACTACCTATTGCAGGCCTTTTACACCACAAGCCCACAATCAACTCTCTAGACCATGATATGAATGGAATAGAACAAATGCAACATGTAAAAATGAAATGAAATGGGACATTCTACTGTTCTGGTCCGAACTGGGCTAATGAAGATGGGTATACTCAATGCAGTGAGTTACGAGGGAGATTTTGCCCGGGAGAGAGAGAGAAATGGGGTTTAAAGTCCACTCGACACAAACTAGGTCATTTCGGGAGTAACATATGGTTTAATTTTATTTCAATAATTCGCTTGCGCGTAGGAGTCTTTAGCAGTGGGAGGAAACCGGAGGACCCAGAGAAAACCCACGAGGTTGGACAGACGACCCTACTCCTTGCCACGTACAACCGGGGATTCGAAACCACACCAGTTGACTCAATGACAGACTTTATGATACAGCGCGCGCACGCTAACCATTCAGCCATCCACCCCCCCCCCCATTTTGCCCGTACAGCGGCACTATGGCCTACTCTTATATCAAATTCCAACAGTCAAGGGACCATTTATGTACAAGCCAATGTGTACACAGGACCTCGGTTTTTCGTCTCATCTGAACGACTAGACAGCTGTCCTTGTCAGGCCCTCCGTCCTGCATCACTGACAAGGGGAAACCACGTCAGAAAATCTGGATGGACTTTCTCTGCCAATGCAGGGATCGAACACGCGACCTCCAGGCTAGCACCATGTAAATAAATAACCAAATACTTTGTTTACTATCGTAGCAAGGTACTTGATAAATGAGACTATCTTGTCAAAATTTGACTGAAAGTTACAACATATTAAATTTCCATTATCTAGTTTTGAGCTACTATAGCAAGAACGGTCAGCTCTTTATCTAATCTTACAAATCAAAAGGAGCTATAAAAAAACTATAAACATTTAAATTTGTCAATTAAGAGATGAAACTAAACAATCCAAATTAATTTACTTGATAAAGATGAGAGTATCCTCGTCGAAACGTGGCTTAGTTTTAAACTCAGTAATTGTGTATCCATAAAATTGTACCTTGTGTCAAATTAATTGAATTAAGTAATAAAGTGATATTTACCATCTTCTGAACCAGTCATTATAATGGGTAACTCTGGATGGAATGAGACTGCCGATATATTCTGGGCATGTCCTTCTAATGTCTGTACACATGTTTTATTCTGGAATAGATTCAAGGTTTATTTATATAATACAGTAAAATCAATTGTTGCTTTACGTTTTAATTCTATGGAACTGCACATCTGTAATAAAACAATTACCACCATGCTATGGACCAAGAACTGACTATGACGTCATCACAGATAGCTTGGAAATGTGACATCATGTCAAAAATCAAAAGTCTGTTAATCATTGCGCAATTGTCCAAGGAATAAGCATGCCAAGTTTCATAATGGTCACCGCACACGAACAACAAGGAAAATACGATGAATAAATTGGTCAATATTGGCCATTGGAGTGGGACATATAATAAAGAGTCGGTGCAGGCTTTTTAGCATCTTAGACACTGCCAAATTCTAAGACGTCCCACCAATCAAAGGATTATATTTCAATTAATACCTGATAATCCCAAATTTTAACCAATCTGTCATCTGCTCCTGAAATCAGATATGGTTTATCTCCCCCTGTGTAGTAATCAACACAGTTAACTCCCTTTTCATGGCCTTCTAATGTAAAGTTTGGTGCATTGGATCCTAACTGCCATACCTGAAAAAAGACAACAAATATCATACATCTTTAGTCTTAATGAAATGAAATGGGGTGTAACGTCCTACTGTTCTGCTCCGGCCTAATGAGACCTATACACCATGCAGTGTGCTATGAGAATAAATTTAGCCAGGTCAGCAGTAACAAATTCCATCCAGCAAGGATTCTTTAACGTGCACATGTGGACATCGTTTTCTGTCCAACTGACTGATTTAATTATGCAAGAGCTAAATCTGCCAATTGCAGGTCTTTCTTAAAGGTCTGATATATTATATAATCTTTTAATTAGACATTAATTAACATATCCAGACCATAATCAACTCTTGATGTCATCGCTAGCCTGCGATATTTACTCGATTAGGATCTTATTTGCTGCTCAACTTTCATTCATGATTTAATCATGAAATGGATAATCGAGACTATGTATTTTATCGCACAGACTTTAGTAACGATGATCGAGGCTAGGCCGAAAATTCAATCACTAAAATCTTGGTTCATGGTGGATTAATTTGACTGAAATTTTCAGCAAATTCCCTTTAGTTTTTAACTATTATAGTGAGAACAGCAAGTTCTTTATCTAATCTCCCATAATGTATCTTTAAGTAATAATATATATATCTAGCGTGGATTAAGCCTTAACAAATTTAATAATTTAGCGAAAAAAACAAATGACGCATCAGGCCTTTAATTTATACACCTGTACCTACCTTGACAGTTCTATCTAATTTATACACCTGTACTTAGTTTGACAGTTTTATCTAATTTATACACCTGTACTTACCTTGACAGTTCTATCTAATTTATACACCTGTACTCACCTTGACAGTTCTATCTAACGAAGCACTAGCAAATTGATTATTATCTTTAGGATTAATAACTATCTGCATACAGTAGTGACTGTGTCCTTCAAATACTTGAGTACACGTCCATTTCTTATCCCAATCCCATAGTTTAATTAACATATCATCTACAAAAAACAAACAAAATATATAATCACATTGCCGTGGCAACATAATTAGAGAAGATATTGATACTTGAACAGATACCAATTTATAGAACAAATTGGTCTCCAATCACTATTTATACCGTTACACATTCTCGGTATCCCCAGTGGTATTGTTCCATTCTACTAATCTAACCTCCGGGTCCATCAACGCGGGAGACACATAGTCATATTACCCACCCTTCATACTTCTGCTATTTTTATCGACCAATCTAGTGGGGGAAGGGAAGTAACTCCCATTTTATTGCAACTTAGATCATTGTAGTGAAAGTAAACAAGAACGCTAAGACTACTGGTATGTAAACTGTTTTTTGATTGGTTCACAGAATCAAGCCACAATGAAGGGCAAATAATCTGACTTTGTGAAAACCCTATGGATGGACCCAGAAGTTAGTAGAGTACAATGGAAAGATACTACTGGGTATAGCGAGATTGTTTATAACGGTTTATTCAATTAAAATAAACGTTTCAGTTTAATCCTTTCGCTACTTGTCACTATATAATAATAGAAGAGGACCCAGTAATCAGTTTTTTGCTGACCTGGTGACCTGAGCCCTATGTAAACTCTTAATTGATCTGGTGATACGAGCCCTACGTAGAAAATAGAAGTTCAACATGGACACACTGAAACATCATACAAACTCTGTTTCTATAGAGAAATGGTGAAAGAGTAACGGGCAGTAAATAAATAATCTCTGACATGAAATTTAACAGTCTATTTTTCTGCACAGACTGGGTTAATGATGACGGACATGTACCTTACAGTGTTGTGTGAATGACATTTTGCCATGACAGCGGCACAACAGCCTACCCTTCTTTAGAATTCCAACTGTCAAGGGTTCGTTTATGTGAAATGAAATGGGGTTTAACGTCGTACTGTTCTGCTCCACGTGCACACCAATGTGTACATGGGACCTAGGGTTTTCATTCCATCCAAATGGCTGTCCTTGTCAGTCGTTCATGTGACCTTGTTTTGTTTTTTTTGTTCCACCCAAATGTCTAGACACTGTTCTTGCCAGGGAACCACATGGGAAAATCTTAAGGAGTCATATCTAAAATACTTACCACTGCTAGTAAGAATATAAGGTTGTGTTGGATGGACAGCTATAGATCGTAGATAATCAGAATGGGCTTCAAATTGATGAACTCTTTCTAAGGTGTTGTAATTAAAAACACGAATAGTCATATCATCCTGTAAAATTAATATAATTAATTCAAGTATTATCTCTTTCACAAAGAAAAGTTGTACATTATATTTAAGGAATACCATATTGTAAACCCAAGCATGTCCAACTTTAAACGAAATCACGACGATATTTGTATGACTAAGAAATCAGAAATCATAAGATATCATGCCAACCACCTCCTTGACTCTCATGATCATTAATCAGCTGCATAAAATAGATGGTATTTTACAAATACAATTCACAGCCTCTTTAACATAGATAAAGGAACAGTAGATTGAACATGTATATAAATACATTTTTGGGGGTAAAGAGCTAAAACCTTGTGACAATTTTTCTATTAAAGGAGCTAAATCGCTAACATTTGGGACCTACAAATTGACAAAAGTGGGTCGCAACGCATATAATACTGTAATATGAATGTATATAAACTTATTTACATTCAATGGTTTCCGTTTTTACTTTAATTTCAAATCAGTTATGTTTGGCGAAATAAGCCAGCAGTCTCAAGCGAGTGCAAATTTCTAGCATCTGGTTATTCCAGTCTACATACGCTGTTTGATTTGATGCAATGTGTCTAGCCTCGTCCCTCGAGTCTCTTGATACAACTGGGGCTGAAGCGCATTGTGGTACACGATTCGTGTACCAATGGTAAAATGTTTATTTTGTCTTAAATATTGGATATCAAAAGCCCATCTTTTTCCGGTAAGATCACAACATGAATGTTGATTTAATTTGACAAATAAATCGTGTTTTCAATGTTGAAGATTTTGGATAATATTGAGTTAGAGACTTAGCTCCTTTAACACTGGATTTCTGCCCTAAGCAGAGACCATGAGGGAGAGAAATGAGGTTTAGAGTCCACTCGACCACAAACAAAGGTCATTTGAGACAACATGGTTCAATTTTATTTCATGCTTAGAGGTCTTTAACAGTAGGAGGAAACCGGGGGTTGGACAGACAACCCTACTCCTTGTCACATACAAGATGGGAATAGAAACACCACACCGCTTGACTCAGCACCTTACCCACTGAGGCCCTGGGCCCTTATTCACGAAAACTTAAACTAAGATAAAATCGAAATTATAAGAAATACTGCAACTTCATTGGATATATGCAAATTGATTTTACTGGTCAGCCAATCGAATTGCAGTATTTCTTAAAATTTCGATTTTATCTTAGTTTAAGTTTTCGTGAATAAGGGCCAGACTGGAGCTCCCCTAGATTAGAGATGAGGCTTAAAAAATACTTACTGAACCAGTTATAACCCAGTTTTTCCTGGCAACAAATTTAGATGCTCGAACTGGTAGATCACATACTTCAAATGATTTGATAAGTTGCTGTAAAACAAGGAAAATCAACAATATAGCAGTTCAGATAAACAACTTGATGAAAGTTGAGCAATGAAATACACAGTTATAATAATATTAATACAATTCAAGTTATTTCAAAAAGATTCATTTTAAACTTTTCCATTTCCATCCCAACTTGCGGATATTTGACACATGGAATTTTTGTTCCAATAGCGAGTTTTGGTGACAGAACAAATTTAACGATGCAAGAATCAGTGTGTGCTCCTGATGCATCGATGCATAAAACTTTACTTGATATCACTATCAGCCCCAAATAACAGGGGTCTGAACTACATGCAACCAAGCCGATAAGACAACTACACATACATTGCAAGCAACAAAAAAAAACAAATATCAAATCAATGTTATTACCTGTGATTCATAATTCCAGACATGGACATTTCCATTGTATAAACTTGCTAACATCCATGGTTCTGACGGATGGAGATCAACGGATTTCACTCGATCCGAGCGAGCGGATAACTTTCTCTTGATATCTAGTCTAAGCGGCTGAAAATAAAAATTTGAGTTTTAGGTACCAGTACACAAAAACAGGGTGCATAGATAATAATTGAACTGCTTATGTCAGTCATAGAATAGAATCCTAAGACGGGGAAAGCTAATACCGGGTTCTGCAAAACTACTGTCCAGAGGAGCACACTCCGGCAAGGCAGGTTTGGGGCCCCCGAACAATTTCAATTTGAAAATCCGGTAAATGTGATATCCAGTCTACTTGTAAAATAATAAGACATCACTGGTTGAATCTTTCTGGACAGCTATTGGCAGTATAGCCTAGTATTTCGATTTGAGTATTTGAACTAATATTTCACTCAGACTAAAATTCAAATTGAAACAAGTTGGTTTAATTGGTTTGTGTAAGAAAAATGACAATATTTTTTTTCTTATTTTTAGGCTTGATGTTTTCACATTAGTATGTAAGAAATGATCACACAAACATCAAATACACATATAAGACAAATAATCATAGTACAATCTAGGCTAATGACAACTCTCTGCAGAAAACGTATGCATTCGAACCTCGTCTCGTGTCAAGTCGGCGAGTGTGTTTTCGATGTTGACATCTTTTTCAAGTCAACGCTTTTTACGCTCTTCGCTAAATAAATAACACTTACCATTCTACTTTCAATAATTAAATGAAATGCCAGAAATTGTCTTTCTTAATATATCCAGAGGATAGGGCAAGATAAGATAAATACTTACCATAATGTAATTATTTGAGTTGAATATTAGAAAATGTTGGAGCAGAATACGTGGCCCACATCAATACGCATGCACACCGGATATATCAGACAAACTTCCTGTTAAATAAACTTAATTATCCAGACTTAAATAACAAAAGTCGTGAACACAGAAGGGAACTGCTGGCAAAACGGGACTACAGTATTCTGCAAATTGCCGAATCAGATTAAAATAAAACGAAAGATGTCACGGTAAACGATTTACAACAAATGGGAGAGAGAGAGAAATGAGGTTTAATTTCCACTCGACACAAACTAATTCATTTCGAGACTATCGTATGTTACTATTTTATTTCAATAGGGGTCTTTACTTTACTTTATGTCCAACAGAGGATTTTGTGGAGTATTTCATTGAAGTTGAAAACTTGAAGTCGAATCCGGAGGACCCGGAGAAATTAACCCACGAACTTGACGAAGCTGGACAGGCGACCCTACTCCTGGTCACGTACTGTACTACTGTACAACAAATGGGGTTTAATGTTCTACTGATCTTCTCTGACCAGGCTAATGAAGACAGGCATACTCCATACAATTACAAGTGTGTGCTATTATTAGTAGGCCTATTATTAGTATTAGGAAAATTTGCCAACCGGTACTCATTAGTCCAACCTCGTGGGGTGGGGGGTTGGATGGCTGAATGGTTAGCGTGTGCACGCTGTATCATAAAGTCTGTCATTGTGTCAACTGGTGTGGTTTCGAATCCCCGGTTGTACGTGACAAGGAGTAGGGTCGCCTGTCGAACCTTGTGGGTTTTCTCCGGGTCCTCCGGTTTCCTCCCACTGCTAAAGACCCCTACGCTCAAGCGAATTATTGAAATAAAATTAAACCATGTATTAGTCCCGAAATGACCTAGGTTGTGTCGAGTGGACAGTAAACTCCATTTCTCTCTCTCTCTCTCCATTCTCGTGGGTTTTCTCCGGGTCCTCCCACTGCTTTTGCTAAAGACGCCTACGCGCAGGCGAATTATGGAAATAAAACTAAAGAATATGTTAGTCCCGAAATGACCTAGTTTGGGTCGAGTGGAGTTAAACCCCATTTCTCTCTCTCCCCCTTACCGGGACTCTTATACAGGCCCATAGCCAGCCAGCTGTCCTTGTCAGGTACTCCATCCTGCACCACTGACAAGGGGAAACCACGCCTGAAAATCATGGATGGGATGTTGGAATTTGATAAGAGTAGGCCATAGTGCCGATGGCTGGGCAAAATATCCCTCATAACACACTACATGGCGTATGCCCGTCATCATTAGCCCAGTTCGGAGCAGAACAGTAGGACATTAAAACCGATTTCATTTCATTTCCAACACCAGGAGCGAGCGATCTAGTTTGTGTCAAGTGGACGTTGAACCCCATGTTTCTCTTCTCCATTACAAACTTAACAAAGTCAAACATAATTTTAAAACCATTTATTATTTTATTTTATATAACACATCATATTACACAATAATATATTCATATATATAAAATGCTTATATATTATTCTTCTATACATTCTTATTAGTAGTTCATTTCATTTACTATCAGAGAATTGGTGAGGGGGGACACATCTAAAAGAGTTATTCCCCTTGACACACTTATTCAGCATACAATATAAAGTTTCCCCTATCTGATTAAAATACAGATCTATATTTCATTTTGGTTTTTTTATACTTTCGATGGTCTCTACTACATGAAGATCTGACCGGTTTTAGTGGAAGGTTGCATCAGGGGTAATACGAGCGGCTTTTGACCCTATGATGTCAGACATTTGATTAACCAATCAGTGTTGATGTTTCAAGTGGGTTACCCACAGTTCTGTGCACCTCACACCAAAAACTCGCCGTAACAGACCGTTTCATTGGCTAATCCTTCACATCATCCAGAACACCGGTTATATAACAACTCTTCCAGATACTAGTGTAGTAAAGACAAGTAAAACGAAATTTTAAACTATACAAAATGAGACGAAATAGGATCTGTGTTTAAATCAGATTGTTAACACCATTAGCCATCACAAGCCATGTGGATCACCCTTTTTTGTAATGGTAGCAGGTAGAGTATAACTACAATAGTGAATCATGGCTCAAAATGACAAATGATCTCCTTCCTGAAGTACTAAGCAGTGGTGATTGTGCAATGGTAAGTAATTGTGCAGTTGTCCCCCCTTTCTTACACCAAACTTATTATCTACATGTGACTTATTGACAAGTCCACCCATACACATTCACAATTACACGTAGGCCTATATATATATCAAGGCCTTGACACATCAAATGATTTTTAAGGCCTATGTATTTTAGATGAGCCAATTGTACATTGAATTAAGCATTCGTATGGGTCCCAACTCCTAACAATTTCCATTCCTTTTGTATAAAAATGTCATCTTTTGAATCATTATCTAGTGCTGGTAGATCATAATGTTCTTTTTTAAACAAATCGGTTATAAAACATTGATAGGCTTTAAATGCTCATATTAACACAATTATTCAATGATTTCATATAATCTATTTGGTCTTAATTGAGACAGTTTTTATGAACCCAGTAGCTCGGAAAAAAATTCCTGTTTTTATACAATTATATATAATTATTTAACATCATTTATACAAGAGATGTAAGTTATAAAAATGGATTTGAAATCAACATTAACAGATAATAAATCTTCATTTAAAATAAATATAACAATTTTAGTTACCGCAAAGCAGACATCATGCTTTTAATATTTGAAATACAAGAAATATAAATAAATATTTCGTAAATAATGGCCTTTAATTTCCCATTTAAAATAATTAAAGTATATAAAAAGGGCTGATGGCCAAACTGTATTAAGAATAGATCAGGCCAATACAAATTTATTTTTCACCTAAAACAACGTTTATTCTTGTTTATTTCTTACAATTTATACGACTTTTATCTCATGCATCGAAAACTTTCATAAACTTTTACAACTAGTGAATAATTTCATGCACTTAGAAATATCAGAGACTTTTACATCTAGGTATTAATTTCATGCACATGGAAATATCATAGACTTTTACATCCAGTCATTAATTTCATGCATGTAGAAATATCATAGACTTTTACATCCAATCACTAATTTATGCACATACTTTTACATCCAATAATTATGAATCAATCACCAGACTCAATCACGACTGTTTTGTATAAAGATTCTGATTTCTTGAAATCAACAACATATGAAGAAAGCTTCCAGGTTTTTTTTCACAAAAACTTAAACTATGATATTTTCAGGATTCAGGCATTTCATTGGTTGAGATTTAAAATTCTAGTACAAATTTTAGCTCTTTTTATATCCAATTGAAAAGCTGAATTCTTAAAATGTTTTAGAAGTTTTTGTGAATCTGATTCCTGATCCGTTCCAGAATATTGTTGTTCTTTGATCTGTAAGATTTACGGTAACTCAAGTAAAAACACAGATACATAAAATCTAGGCTCATTGAGGTAGTTGACTGCTCTCTGACACAATCATTTCAATTAAGGCCACGCCAAAATGACTTCCCATTTCTTGGAAGGACATAAAATAATTAAAAACCAAAAGTTCTTGATTGCGCTCCTCAATAGCTTTTAGTTCCAAATTTTTAAGTTTTGAAATTTTATTGACCAATTCCCAAATAAGTAAAAATTGGCTTGGCCTAAGAAAGAAACAACTTTGTTAATTCTTTCGCGTTCTACATTGTGTGATTAATCATTCATTAATCAACCCTTGTACACCTTCTATGATGTTTGACAACCCTTGCACACCTTCTATGATGTTTGATTTCATATTTTTAAGTTCTACAAGTCTAGACCTTACACTTGGCAAACAAAAAAATTCAGCCATGCTAAGTTTCAATATTAAGATTCTCAGAAAATGTTGTATTTGGCCCTAGGATAGTATTACAGTCCTGATATTCATCATAAATTTAATATTTCTGTCGAATAGCAGTCTGCGAATTCATTCATTTTTCTTTTAAATATTATATCATTTGCCAAGTGTTCGGACATTGTTGCGCTCATCAGAGATCTTGTGACTAGAATTTACACTTAGAAATATTTTATATTGGGTACGGAACGTTTTATGTTTATAAAAGTATATCCCCTACCATGTGTATAATGTTACTTCACTAGTTCTATTAATATAATGCGGATTTTATTATCATACCTCCAAACTCCCGTGACATACGTGTTTGTATGTTAAATAATTTAGAAGTAACTTTATTTAGATCTAAAGGATTTAAACAATGATGCCATTTTTAATTTGAGCCAATTTTTTATTTTTGAATTTGTTTTGGAATATTTATAAATGTAATATTACTGATGGTGCATACATGATAATCCTTTGTAAGCAATTATGCCATCTTTAATTTGAGTCAATCTTTTATTTTTAAATTTGTTTTGGACTATCTATCAATGTAATATTACTGATGTGCATGTACGATAAACCTCTGTAAAGGTGAATTTTAACATTAAAATCTTCAAACGAAAAATATATCCAAAAATATAAATTTTTAAAAAACTTTATGTTTAAAAAAATAAAAGAGCACCAATATATTTCTATCAAAACTAAAAATAGGTCTAAAACTTTAAGAACTTAAAAATAAAGATCAGAATCTTAAATAAGACAATAATTAATTAAACAATTAACAGGACAATTAACAAGATAAACATTATAATCAATTTGACAAATGTATGCTTAATTAACAATTAATGGAAGTAAAAATGATCATAGATGTAGTATCTTATACTGTAAGGGTTACTGATTGAGAAAACACACAAAAGGGTAAAGTCGGAAATGAAATAGGGGTTTACCATCAGCTATTGGATATAAATAGGGTTTAACATACCACTGTCCTGCTTTGACTGGAAATTTTACCCAGACAGCAGCACTGCAACCTACTCTTATATTCAACTGCCAGAAATAAAATGAAATGGGGTTTAACATCAAACTGCTCCGACTGGGCGGACAGCAGCGCTGCGGCCTACTGTTACATGTATATCAAATTCCAATGAAGGTCTAATGAAGAAGTTATTTACAACTGCCGTGTTATATCACAACCAGTAGCTATTTCAGCATATATACATAGTAAAATTAGTACAAAATTCTCATTCTAATTAAGTACATATATCTATCAAGTAAACTTTATCAAGCTTAGGGCATAACCAAATTAAAACATGGCACTGGCAAGTAGGCTAAATCCTCCACTGCCAAGTCCAAATCCACCAATACCAAGTCTAAATCTTTTGCTTCTATTTTTATTTTCCATAAACAATTTCAAGGCAATATAAAAATCATTTTCATAATAAAAAATAAAATTTGTACCTGAAATTCTAATGCCTTACAATACCTGTAAAAAACATCTTTTTCTTGGTAAAATTGACATACAAATATGGATAAATGCAAATTAAAATAAAAGTCAAGCAAGAGAAGAAGAAAAAAATATTTTTAAACATATATATTATTTACATTTTGTTTTTATGTGTTTTTGACTTAGTTTAAAACAAATTTTTTTTATCAAAAGAATCCCACAAAGCATATCTTTAATATGTTACTATAGAAACCACGGTGAACCCAATATGGCCGCTATAGAAGTCAAATCAAAATAAGGCTATTATTGCTATAGCAACCACTCTAAATCCTCAAAATCACATCAAAAATGTAAAATCAACCACAAAATCATTAAATTTTTTAACACCCACTTGATTTGAAACACATCAAACAATTTTATACATTTTAACAATTGTATCAAATCACAGAATTTAATTAAAACACAAAAAAAAACGCACACACACACAAAACATATTGACTAAAAAATCATAGGTCAATGATCAATCAGGGTCTCTCAGGTGCAAACTTAACTCCTCATCAATTTTTAAATTTAAATCAAATCAAATCAAAAATCAATTAATAATTCAACAAACTATCTAAAAAAAAAAACCAACAAATAAACGATCATCTGGTTTGAGGTTGTAATGAAGATGGTGACGGTATTTCATTAAAGTCTCTGCATGCCTTTTGCCTTTTTATTGGGTATCAAAGTTTTCTCAAGTTTTATCCATGCTAAAATGTACTCGCGTTCATTAATTAAAATTTAATTAAACAACAAAATCAACGGAATTGGATTGAAATGAATTTAAAGAGAACCATCAAGAGATTTTAGTTTTATCAGCAGTTTATATCGGATGCTGAATGTCATCACATCTTTATTAATCTTAAGCAGAATTGAACGATTTTTGGCCCGATATCTCTTTTAGTGATTTGACTTGTACAGTATTGTATTTTGTAAGGGATTCCCCAATTCCTCATATGACATTCAGAGACTTTAAAATAAGGGGGATAATGGACTATATGATTAACACCCGAATTTATATCTCATGTTATCGTACCTCAGTATGACCACGACAGTTTCAATTTTTATCTTTGTAAACACATATGACAAATTTTGCTTCCTGTTACCTCGGGAAAACGAATAATTTAAAAACAAAGAGTACGTGGTTGCTCGTCTTAAAAAATTTTAAGTTTTAAAGTGTTGAAGTTTTAAATGAAGCATTGTTCGCGAGACTCAAGTGGCAATTTCTTTAGGTTTTTGGTCGAAGGAAGGACTTTTACACAGTGGTGGGATTTGCTATCGAAATTTCATTGAAATTTTGTTTTTATGTTTCCACACAACATTGAGGTAAACCCATGCCACTGGGATAACTCATGTCACTGAGATAACCCATGTCACTGGGATAACCCATGCCACTGAGATAACCCATGTCACTCGGATACCCCATGCCATTTGGATAACCCATATCACTGGGATAACCCACGCCACTTGGATATCCCATGTCACTGGGATACCCCATGCCACTGAGATAACCCTTCATGTCACTGAGATAACCCATGCCACTTTTTTTTAAATTTGAGCTGATTATTCGATATACTGAACGTCTCACCACTTATCCCCCTTATTATAATCAAGAATAAGTAAGTTTAACGAGGTTGGAATCTTGGTCATAAGGATCCTACGAATACGACTCATGCCAAATACCTACTTTTTCTATTTCTTAGTTTTATGTTTCAAAACTGTACAAATATAGCCTATATTTCTATGTCAAAAATGTTTTAAATTAATATAATTGCTAAACGTACATTTTTCTCTTTCGACAATGAATTTGGAAAATACAATTATAAATGACCATTTGTTTTTCAAAAATTCTTTTTGTTTGAGTGTGTAAATGCTATGGTTTACTACAATACCCTCGTTTATTAGAGATCTGGTCATTCAATTAAAATACACATTGAAACCAGAGAACTATATAATCATTCAATATGCGTGCGCACTACATGGCTACCCAGTTTAATCCAATTTTTTTCCCATGCTCTTCTAATCCCAACTCTGCAGCGACAATCTCTGACCAGTTTTTAATAATATTTTTTAATAATTATCCTAAAAGAAAACACACATTTACACCTTTTCTCCCATTGGTTGAAGTTCTGCTTCATCAGGAAATTTGTACGAACTTTTTGGACCACGTCCACGGGTCAGACCGAGGGAAGCAACGATTTCGTCGAAGGTTCTATTTTTGGTTTCGGGAACAAAGAAAAATATAAAGACTACTGCGGCTGCTAATATTATAGTGAACAGCAGGTACGTATAGGCCCCCAATCCATCCTACAATAATAAAATAAAACAAGATATTTTTATTTTCAAACTTGAAAAGTTCACAAAATTTATTCTACTAACCAAATGAAAAAATGAGACACACAAATAATAATAAAACAAAAATATATTATGCATAAAATAAAAACAAACATCACAGCACTATGGACAGAAAATGAAATGGGATTATCCTACTGTTCTGCTCCTTCTGAGCTAATAAAGATGGGGGTATGCCATACAGTGCGCCATGAGGGGAAATTCTGCCCGGGATTCGAACACGGGACATTCTAGTCAATTTACTAGTGTCCTATTGCCCTAATACAGTCAACCCCTATAGCCCGAATACAGTTGACCTAATACAGTCAACCCCTATTGCCATAATGCCATAATACAGTCGACCACATTGCCCTAATACAGTCAACCCCATTGCCCTAATACAGTCAACCACATTGCCCTAATACAGTCAACCCCATTGCCCTAATACAGTCAACCACATAGCCCTAACACAGTCGACCCCTATTGCCCTGATACATTGGATGCCTCCACCCCGTCTCTCCCTGAATTGGATGTCCCCACTCCCTCTCCTCTTAAATTGGATGTCCCCACTACCTCTCCCCCTGAATTGGATGCCCCCATCCCCTCACACCCAGAATTGTATGCTCAGGACTGTGGCCCCCTCTGATGCCCTTTCTGCACACTACTGTCAATGGTGGACAAATGGTTGAATTTTTATGGTTATATTTTTTCCTTACCTTCATAAAGGGGAAAGCCAACATCAAAACGAAGTTACAAATCCAGTTAAAAGCGGTAGACAGACTCATGGCTGCAGCTCGCGGCTCCTGACGGAAGATCTCCGACACAAGGATGAAGGGGATCGGTCCTGAAAGAAAAATTTCAAGTTTGTTGAAGCCAGATCACCCCTATACGGCTACAGGGCTAAAAATAACAGTTTCAATTGTACCAGAAAAAAATGTCAATCACGAATGAACTAGTTCCTGACTTTGTGACTGATGTGTATTAATAGTATCAAGAAAACAAGACAAATCGGTGTCTGAACAAATAACAGGCCCCAGAGGTTTAGCGCCTAACAAATGACAGGCCCAAGAGGTTTTGCGCCTAACAAATGACAGGCCCCAGAGGTTTTGTGCCCAACAAATGACAGACCCCAGAGGTTTTGTGCCCAACAAATGACAGACCCCAGAGGTTTTGCGCCTAACAAATGACAGACCCCAGAGGTTTTGTGCCCAACAAATGACAGACCCCAGAGGTTTTTCGCCTAACAAATGACGGACCCCAGAGGTTTTGTGCCCAACAAATGACAGACCCCAGAGGTTTTGCGCCTAACAAATGACGGACCCCAGAGGTTTTGCGCCTAACAAATGACAGACCCCAGAGGTTTTGTGCCCAACAAAGCCTGAATTACCGCCCGACAATGCCTGTGACTACTACATTTTTTGCAGGCTTGCTCATATATATCTAACAAGGGGTTGCCATGCAACATATGCCCACATTTAGCAAGAGATGGACACAGAACAAACTAAAATAGCATACAACAATTGGTCAATATACAGGATTTTATAGTCCGACATGCATCAATATCAAAAGGAACCAAGATCTTTGGGATATAAACATATATTTTTCGTTTCATCAGAATGGGATAAAAATTGTCACTTGTAGAGGGTCCACAAACAAAATGTGGAAGGACAGGCATCCGGACAGACTGGGGCAACGAGTCCACAATAATAATTTGGCAATTTGTTTTGTATATGTGACCCTTTTCTGTCTGATTTTTTTTTAATACTGGGAATAGCTAAATTATATAATAGCAAGTTTTTAAACGAAAACAAACATGTTTTAGACCCTTTATAAGCCTACATTTTAATATGTATAGATGAAAATAAACTTATTTTAGACCTTTTTTTTATATGCCCACATTTTCAATTTATGAACGAATGTTCCCTTAAATGGGCATTACGGAAGATTAGATAAAAAAAGCTGGCAGTTCTCACTATAATAGATAAAAACTAGATAATGTAAAGGGAATTTGCCAAAAATTTCAGTCAAAGTGTGATTAAATTTTGGGCCTAGTCTCGATCATCATTACTAAAGTCAGTACGATAAAAAAAATAGTCTTGATTATCCATTTTTTGATTTAATCATCAATGAGCGTTGAGCAGCAGATCGTTTTGTTTTTTAAAAAAAAATCAAATAAACGTAAAACAAATCACAAATCATCTACAGTCAAACGTAAAATAAAAATGTTTAACTTACCAAGACCAAGGGCGAAACCTATAACGTATATATGCATGAGAACGATACAAATCATAGCGAATGTCGAATGGTGTTCGACTAAATCAACGTTAAATTGTAGATTAATAAAAACGGTCATCAACAAGAAAGAAATAGCCATCATACACATCGGCCATAATAACAAGGGACGTCTTCCTAATTTCTCCATTAAAGGTACCTGAAATTACAACAAAATATAAGATTAAAAGTTGGATTTTTATTTCCAGAGAGAGAGAGAGAGAGAAATGGAGTTTAACATCCACTCGAAATAAACTAGGTCATTTCGGGGCTAACATATGGTTTAATTTTTATTACTTCAGAGGTCCTTAGCAGTGGGAGTAAACCGGATGTCAGGCAGAAAACCCACAATGTTGGACAGGCGACCCTACTCCTTGTCATATATTTCCGGAATAACATATATCATAACACAAGGTACAATTTTATAGATACACAATCACTGAGTTTAAAACTAAGCGACGTTTCGACGAGGATACTCCGTCTTTATCAAGCAAATGATACAGATATGTGAATTGTGGGCAAATATATACAGAATATGGAACAAAGATAAGAATCAAATGATACAGGTATGTGAATAGTAGGCAAATAAATACAGATTATGCAACAAAGATAATCAAATATAATTAAAGCTAAAGATGAGAGTATCCTCGTCGAAACGTTTCTTAGTATCAAACTCAGTAATTGTGTGTCCATAAAATTGTACCTGGTGTTAATATGTACTAAATGCCAATCAAAGAAAACATATATCATTTTATTTCAGTGGGGGAAACTGTGAAAAACCCACGGGATTAGTCAGACGACATGTCAAGTAGAAGTGTGATGTTAAAATAAAGCCATAACGACAGATCTTATGGGGATTAATCTCCACTCGACACAAACTAGGTCATTTCAGGATTAACATATGCTTCAATTTTATTTCACCCCTTAGCTTGCGTGTAGGGGTCTTAACACCAAAAGGAAACCGGAAGACCCAAAGATAAAACACAGGGTTTGACGGGTGTCCCTACTCCTTGCCATGTACAACTGGGGAATTGAAACTATGCTATTTTACTCGATGACAGACTTTATGATCCAACGTGCATGTATTAACTCATTTCCATTTGACCATGCCTCCCCCCCCCCCCCCACAGAACGCAAGACATTAATTACTCTTTGAATCTTGATATATATATATACAAATATACTTCTACGTTTTTAAAGGAAAAAAATGAAATGAAATGGGGTTTAACGTCCTACTGTTCTACTCCGACTTGATTTAATGAAGACAGTCATAACCCATCCGTTATGAGGGAAATTTTGTCTGGACTGCATCGCGATGGCCTACTCTTATATCAAATTGCAACTGCCAAGGGATCTTTTACGTGCACAGCACTAGAACGTGTACCCACAATAATCTACTTACAGCTATGACCGTACACAAGACATTGATAGAACCAGTACCCACAATAACATAACCAATCTTTTCAGTTGGTACTTGAGCTTGTCCAAAAATGAAAGTAGAATACGACATGACCTATAATTAAACAAATATATTCATTATAATATGTTGTGATACCTAGCGAGGAAATGAAATGAAATGGAGTTTTATGGCACGTCAGCTCCAACAGGCTATATGGTGCCAAACTCATGGTAACTTTGACGAGACAAATTAAATCAATATCTCATAAATATATTTATATACATAAATAAAAACAAGTATCACAGACAATAAAGTTATCTATCTATACTAATATTTGTGACTGTCGTTTGTCTGTCTGTCTGTCTGTCTGTCTGTTCGGGGTTGGCGGCTACACTAGGTCTGCCCCGAGTCTGAAATTTGGGGTATAGGGGTAGCTCGGATCGGGGAGTAACATAGGCCAGGTGGCGTTAGTCTACCACTTCCGGTTTCGAAGTTATGACCCCCGAGCGAAGCCGGTTATCCTGCTAGTTAAAAATAAATACAAATAGATAGAAGTCCTTTGCGTATATAAATAGTTAAAAACAAAAATACGGATATCAATTAAAATTTGTAATAAAAGTTTGTTTCTTTTAAAAAGTTTAACCATTTTTCATACAGCTCCAGTTGCGCAAATAATTGATGAAAAAGGGTAGAATGTACAATTATTTTAGATATGATGTCATCTTTTGATATTGGGGCAACGTTCCAATCGCACATATTCTAGACGACTGTCATATTGGACTCGCATGAATACAAGGGCGGGATAGTGTTTCTGTATCTCAATCAAGACATACAGTAATATAATGATGCCTCACTTTGTCTGTGACAATAGAAGGGTACAACAGTGATCATGTGATTAATAAGTAACCTTATATGGAATACATACATATACATCAGACACTACAGTTTGATGTCTTCATGCTGTATCAATAATCTATCTTATTTCTCGCTCTCGACCAATTATTATCAGACTTTTAGATGAAATGAAATGGAGTTTAACGTCCTACTGTTCTGCTCCGAACTGGGCTAATGAAGACGGGCATATGCCATACAGACTGCTATGAGGGAAATTTTGCTTGGACAGCAGCACTACGGCCTACTCTTACATCGAATTCCAACTGTCAAGGGATCTTTTACATGCACGGCAATGTGTACACGGAACCTCGTTATTTTTCGTCCCATCCGACTGACAAGACTGCTGTCCTTGTCGGGTTCTCCGTCCTGCATCACAGACAAGGGGAAATCATGCCGGAAAATCTGGATGAACTTTCTCCACCAATGCAGGGATCAAACCTCAGGGTCAGAGATGTGCTCAGGAATTTGAGGGAGCTGGGTGGGGGTTGACGACAGCATCGAGTTGGCGTGAAGTCTGTGGAATTATCGAGGAATTTTACAAAATCAGAAACTTCTAAGAGTTTAAGAAAGAGGTGCCAAACAAAATGGTGGCAATGCTTCGCACAATTGTTTGTTCAACGTTATTTGGAGGCTGTACGATGTTAGATCAATTAACTCACGGTGTAAAATATTAAAAAAATAAAATCCACTTACAGCGTTGATACCAGACCATTGTTGGGTAACTTGAAGTAAACAAGCAACAACAGTTGGGAATCGTAGTTCTGGGGTCGTCAATAATTGATGCATGGAGAAGTTCGTACCACTGACAGATCTCTTTGATTCAATTCTCATTTCTTCTATTTCATCCTCCACGTCATCATAGCCTCGTAATTTTCTTAAAGCTGATTTAAAAGAAAAAAATCATCTAATTATAACACCGAGATCTCTTAAAGCCTGTGATCGTCAATTGAATTTTGAGGGCCTAATCCATACTAAAATTGATTATCTAAAATTTAATTAAGAAAAAAAACATTTTCAATAACAGATAATGCCCCAAAAAACCTATCAAAAGATTTCATTGAAAATTATTTTTAAAAAAGGAAATTACCAATGGTAGCTTCTTGCTCTTCATTTTTCTTAATGAGTAAATATCTTGGACTTTCAGGACACAATGGCCAACAGACAAGATGTATGAAGAGAGGTATGGCATTGAACGCAAACAACCACGGCCATAAGTCCACAGTACCTAATAAATAAATATAGAAAATATTAATAATATAGTTATCTCCCTTACCACATCAGCAACCGTATGAAATTAGTGTTGTTGCTGCCAATTTGTGGAACTCACTACCTGAAAGTCTTCGATCCAGTCCATCATTAGACTCCTTTAAATCCAGATTGAAAACATACTTATTTGAGAAATATTTGCACGAGTGATTGTGTTTTTTGTAATGCTATGAGCACAACTCTATGTGGAATTAGCGCGATATATAAATGGACTTATTATTATTATTAAATGAAGTGGATTTTAACGTCTCCCTTTTCTGAACGACAGGGATGATGATTTCTAACGATCTCCTCTATGGTTTTTTTTCTTTTTCATACGTCAGTTAGGGATGGAATGCATCTGTGATGACAACCCCGACACCAGCTTAATTCGACCCTAGCTATCATACTCACCAAGGTGTTTTTGCATTCATCAGTTAGGGACGGAATGATGACCCCCCGACACCAGGTTAATTCGGCCCTGGCTATTATACTCACCAAGAAGTTCGTTTAATCCGAGAATCTGGGAGGATAGGATACCAACAGTAATAGCCAATTGATGACAAGTTCCGATAGCTCCACGAATCTTCTTGGGAGAAATCTCCGCCAAATACAAGGCAGCTAAACTCACATTTAGACCTGTAGATTACAAAACATTCAAAAATATCAAATAATTTACAGACGGCAATTTTCGCGAAGAACTACTTGGCGTAATCCTTGATTGACATTTAGCGATTGACAAATACAACACAATTTATAGGTAAAACAATCACTGGTTTGTACACATATAGCATGACATTTTGACAAATACACATACAGAACAACTTTTTGACAAGTATGCTGTGTCTGATAATAGGATACTCTTTCAAAAGCTGTGCTATATGTATACAAAGAAATGATTGCCTTTTGTATAAATTGTATGTTTGATATACACAACATGAAACGAAATTAGAACAAAAAAAATGTAAAAGAAAATTTTATCTGTGTTTTAGAAATGCCTCCTCAATTTTCTGAACGACTAGACATTGTTGAAAGGATATTTGATCCGTGTTTTTTTAATAATGGGACCACAGTTTTTTGTGCCATCCAAACGACTAGACACATTGTTGAGTGGATATTTGATCTGTATTTTAATAACACGACCTCGGTTTTTAATACCATCCAAACGACTAGACGTTGTTTTAAGGATATTTGATCTGTGTTTTAATAACGCGACCTCGTTTTTTTATACCATCCGAACAACTAGACATTGTTTTAAGGATTGATCTGTGTTTTAATCTGATTGAATTAAATAATCGTACTCACCGGAATGAAGACCAACAAAGATACGGGATATAATCAGACATTCTGGTGAGGCTGCAACTTTCGTTATTCCGCCAAAAATGGCGGCAATAAACATAACAAATGTAATGACAATCATACCCTTCTTCCTAAAAAATTATTTTACAAAAAATTCATTTTAATACAATCCAAATCTATTAAGGACCAGTTTATGAAACATTTGACCAATTTCCTACTGCTGTAATGTATTTATATCCTGTAACTTCATGCCTCCCAAATTGTGCCCCGCACTTTCTACAACTGGCCCTTTTTAGGAGCTACTGTGGCTCAATGAGTAAGATGTTGGCTCGCTAACCTGGAGGCCCCTTTCTTTGATAACAGAGTTGGCTGAGAATTTCGTCAGTATTTTTCGGCAATATTACCCCTTGTCAGTGATACAGAACAGAAGGTCTGTCAAGGGAAAATATACAGTCATCCGGATGGGACAAAAAACTGAAGTCCCATGTGCACATTGTCATGCATGAAAAAGATTGGAATTCTATATTAGAGTAGCCCACAGCGCTGCTGCCCAGGCACACTTTTCCTCATAACCCATGTATGATGTATGCTTGTCCTCATTAGCCCAATTGGAAAGTAGGACGTTAAAACCAGTAGGATGTTAAAACCAATTTATAAATGTATTAAGAAGTTTTGAGTAATTCTGAAAGCCGCTAATTGTTATTGGCATTTTTCGGACAACCTGTAATTTTCATGACTTTGAATTTACAGGAAAAAAATCAATTTTAATGGGAGAGAGAGAGAGAGAGAGGCTTTAACTTCCACTGATACAAACTAGGTCATTTCGGGACTAACATATAGTTCAATTTTATTTCAATAATTCGCTTGCGGGTAGAGGTCTTTAGCAGTGGGAGCCTCGTAGGAAACTTATTTCGGCTTTGCAAATAAAAAGCATGAGAACCATAAATGCTAACTAAAGCTGAAAGGGAGGTAATTTATAATACCTGCCAAAAAAGTCAGCGACCTTTGCGGAAGTAAAAGCGCCTATCATTCCAAATAAGACAAATGCAGCAACGGTTGTAGACCACAATAATTCAATCTCCCATTTCTCCAACAAAAGTGCATGATCGACACCCAATTTATCCGAGAGATCATCGATTTCTGATTGGTTAGCACGGAGGGTTCCATTTTCAAACGTCAAATTCTTGCTGATCAGTTGCTTGTCGAAGTCTTGAAGGTTGCCATAGTTTCCACCAGCTCTCTCAAAATACACCTTGCGATAAAATTCTTGAATGATCTGAAATTACACAGAATAAAAAAGAATGGTTATTCTGAGTTGATTGAGATTAACATGACCCCGAGGTCGACATGAGGACTAATGCAAAGAAATGGGTGAATTTTTCCCTGGCAGCAGAGTTTCAATCTATTTTCATTTCTCTAAATTCAATATTGAAACATAAAGGACGAATAGGTGAGTTAAGTTTATATCGTATATTAAAGATACATTACGGGAGATAAGATAAAGAGCTGGCAGTTCTCACTATAATAGTTAAAAACTAGATAGTGTAAAGGGAATTTGCTGAAAATTTCAGTCAAATTGCTTCACTCTCAACCGATATAATAGCGTTTGAATTTTAGGCTTAGCCTCGATCATCATTACTAAAGTCGGTAGGATAAAAAAACATAGACTTGATTATCCATTTTTTTATTTAATCATCAATGAGCCTTGAGCATCAGATCGGATTCCAATCCAGTAAATATCGCAGGCTAGCGATGACATTGAGAGTTGATCATGGTCTGGATAAGTTAATTAATGTCTAATTAATCAATTAGATAACATTTCAGGCTTAAAGAAAGACCTGCAATAAGCAGATTTAACTCTTGTATAATGTATGTTTAAGGTCAACTAAATAAGGTTATATGCATATTATAACGTCTATATAGCCTAGTATTGGGTAAGTTAAACATACATTACGTAAGAGCTAAATCTGCCTATTGCAGGTCCTTCTTTTGGCCTGAAATGGTATATAAATTATTTATTAGACATTAATTAACATGATAAGACCATAATCAACTCTCGATGCTATCAGATGGCTACAAATTTAAGTAGCTTAGAGATTCTGCTTTTTAATGATTTAATTCAAAAATGGATAATCGAGACTTCGTTTATTTTCTTAACAACGGTAGCAATGATAAGCGAGGCTATACTGTTCTTCTAACCGCGATATCTCGGCTCTGAGTAAAGTAATCTGACTGAAATTCTCAACATATTCCCTTTTCATTATGTATTTTTTAACTATCATAGCGAGAACTATCAGCTCTTAATCTTACATAATGCCCCATTAAGTTTATATCGTATATTAATGTCTATTGGGTGAGTTTATATGGTTTACTAAGGTCTATTGGGTGAGTTTATATCGTATATTAAGGTCTACTAAGTGAGTTTATATCGTATATTAAGGTCTACTAAGTGAGTTTATATCGTATATTAAGGTCTACTAAGTGAGTTTATATCGTATATTAAGGTCTACTAAGTGAGTTTATATCGTATATTAAGGTCTACTAAGTGAGTTTATATCGTATATTAAGGTCTATTGGGTGAGTTCATATTGTATATTAAGGTCTACTAAGTGAGTTTATATCGTATATTAAGGTCTACTACATGGTATATTAAGGTCTACTAAGTGAGTTTATATCGTATATTAAGGTCTATTGGGTGAGTTCATATTGTATATTAAGGTCTACTAAGTGAGTTTATATCGTATATTAAGGTCTACTAAGTGAGTTTATATCGTATATTAAGGTCTACTAAGTGAGTTTATATCGTATATTAAGGTCTACTAAGTGAGTTTATATCGTATATTAAGGTCTACTAAGTGAGTTTATATCGTATATTAAGGTCTATTGGGTGAGTTCATATTGTATATTAAGGTCTACTAAGTGAGTTTATATCGTATATTAAGGTCTACTAAGTGAGTTTATATCGTATATTAAGGTCTAGTGGGTGAGTTCATATTGTATATTAAGGTCTACTAAGTGAGTTTATATCGTATATTAAGGTATAGTATATTGTATATTAAGGGCCTATATAGTATTGGGTGAGTTTATATCGTATAATATTGTTTGAGTTTAATAATGGAATGTAGTTACTCATCTAGTGATTTCCTTCCTATTAGTAATCTTGTTTACTGATAATATTGAACCACCACGCCCTATTATTAACGGATATAAGGCCATACATTAGTTTAACTCAAGACACATTTATGCGTAATACAAGTTATTTAAAGACTCAATACCACTCTTGTTGTAACTGAATAATATGTCCCAATCTTTATTCTGGTCAACAAATTGTACTATTTTACAGTATTCCAATTAATTGATGATACAAATTTCATCTTTAACACACCTTATTTAAAAATTTTGAAAAATTCAACATAATGGTTTGAAACGTCTAACGTAAACTTTTTCAAATGAAACTTCGATTTAAAAATATTTTCGAACCCTCTGGACAAGTAAAATAGGATGTAATGGATAATTTACACAACAGGTAGGACGCTTAAACATCTAGTACTTGGATAGAGATATTATTTATTTTCTGGAGCTTTCAAGCCAGCAAGAGTGTTATTGTCCCTTTAAAATATTTATTTCCTTTGAGGAGGGTCAAAGAAATATTACAAAAATTCTTAAAATGGGGAATTGTAAATTAAATGGGAACTACCAGTCCTTAAATTCATTTGTCTTTCCATTTGTTTCTCGAAAATTATTTTTGTGCCTCATTCCAAGAATCAACTAAAACATCTCGATATTATTAATAATAAAATTAATATATGACAAATCACAATAAAAACATTTACCAAAATGAGTATTATTATATTTATATCATTGTATCTGTATTTGTATTATATAATTTATCAAGTTATATTATTATATTTATATCATTGTATAATTTATCTAATTTTTATATAATCTATCAAGTTATCATATTTATATTATTGTATAATTTATCATAATATAATATATATATATATAACATTACGATTGCATAATATATCAAGTTGTTATAACGTAATTAAATGGTTATAATATTAATATGATTGAATAATTTGTCATGTTATTATATTTATATAACCGGTGTATATAACTGGTTAAAATATTTATATGATTGAATAATTTGTCATGTTATTATATTTATATAACCGGTGTATATAACTGGTTATAATATTTATATGATTGAATAATTTGTCATGTTATTATATTTATATAACCGGTGTATAACGTATAGAAAGTTATAAAACAGTGTTTGAGGAGGTTGAATATTTACATAAGATAAAATACATATAAAACTATAAATAGAATACAGCTTTTCCTATAAAAGAAGATTTAATGTTTTAATAATATAGTCATGGGGTAGTTGATTTTATAACAGAATATTACTTGTCACCAATAGATTTACACGTGTTATCTTGTATTGTTATAGAGAAAGGGAGAGAAATATGGAGTTTTAATTCCACTCGTTTAATTTTATTTTAATAGTTTGGGGTCAACTATTGGGTAAGACACTGGCTTGCTAGCCTGGAGGTCGGGTGTTTGATCCCTGCATTGGCGGAGAATGTCAGTGGTGCAGGACGAGGGCCTGACAAGGACAGCTGTCTAGTCATTCAGAGGGGACAAAAAAACAAGGTCCCTCATAGCACACTGTATGGCATATGCCCGTCTTCATTAGCCCAGTTCGGAGCAGAACGGCAGGACGTTAAACATCATTTCATTTCATTTCAATCTCAATAGCTTAATCGTGCGTAGGGGTCTTTAGCAATGGGAGGAAACTGGAGGACCCAGAGAAAACCGACGAGTTTGGACAAATGACCCTACTCCTTGTCACATACAAGTGTCAGATCTAAACCATGCTACTTGACTCCATGACAGACATAATGATCTAAAGCACATGCGTTAGACCACTTGACCCCCGGTATATTGTATATGCGTTGGACTACTCGACCCCCGGTATCTTGTATATTATAGAAATATGTAACAGTATCTTGTATGTTAGAGAGATATGTGTAACAGTATCTTGTATGCTATAGATTTATGTAACTTTATGTTGTAATATTATCTTGTATGTAATAGCGATATGTTACACTATCTTGTATGTAACCGTAACTTGTTTGTTATAAATACATGTATGTTAGAATTACAAATTTTAGAGTTACAACATATTCCAGGTTTTAAGACACGCTGCGTGAACAGTTTTGCAAGTGATTTAGGTGCCAATAAGTTGTTGAAAGTTTTTAGGCCTGGATACCACACAGATTTTAGAGTTACAATATATTCTAGGTTTTAAGACACGCTGCATGAACAGTTTTGCAAGTGATTTAGGTGCCAATAAGTTTTTAAGTTTTTAGACCTGGATACCAAACAGAATGTTACAATATATTTTAGGTTTCGAGTAATTTAGCCTTCCGTTAAGTTGTTTAATGTTTAAACCTGAACAATAAACTATAACACATACTTATGGAAGAACAATTACTGATTTATTTGGGCGACGTTTCGAAGAGTATTCTCTCAACGTTTTCAAGCAAGTACAGAACACAATGACCTTCTCGTTCTAGGTTTAATGCCACACTGTAACTGTTTTTCGAGTGATTTAAACTTCCAATAAGTCGTGGAAACTTTTAAATCTGATTACGATGACCTTGTCGTAGAGTTATACATGTTAAAGGTGAGTTATATGTGTTTGTTTACCTGTAGTTGACATCAGACTATTTGATCACTTTACCTGTCTGTACTCTATATAAACTTACCTGTACACTAGACACACAGGTAAACTATTTATATCCCACAACTCATCCAGTGTCTAGCAGGACTAATTAATCATTCCATGTACGATTGTACATCCAACAGATCTACCTGTGTTTTAAACACCTGTCGGTGCTCTATTGATTATGTACCTGGTTAACATGCTTTATAAATGACGATACTATTATTATTAAATGGTGATACTATTATTATTAAATGAACAATTTTAAATTGTTTTAGTTAACTTACCAAAGCCGGTGTATTTACTACTCCGATGTTGTATCCATAAAGAAATGAATTTCCTAATACAGCAACAAATGTGCTGAATATAAGAGTGAACGTGTAGTTGGTTTCTCTCTGAAAATAGAAAAAAAAGAAACTTAATAAATGCACACAGAATAATGTCAAATCACATTAAACGTATAGCCCGTTAAGACGCTTATTTTTAAACCAGTTCATAATCGCTGGGGTTTTTAAGACAGCATCGTGTTGCGTTCACACGTACTATAAGCCGAACCAGTTTAACTATTCTGACCTCTTCGATCGGAGGTTAGAGTTACATGTAACTACGCATGGGTAGCTTCATATTCTTTATTCGGTTCTCGCAAGCTTTCGATAAAATTGGCACTGTCTGACCCCGATATTTTCACAGGAATGTAACTTACTGGGTACTGCGCATGCTCAAAGCGGCTAAGATGAACCAGTTTAAAATAAAAAGCCTTCTTGAAGACAGGTCGCGAGCAGGGGTTTTTAAACTGTTTATTTGCCGCACATTTGCGTTCAGATGCTTAAGTTAAACTGGTTTAACAATCCCCAAGGTTTTTAAACCAGTTCAACTTAAGCATCTGAACGGGCTATTACATTATGCAAGAGTTAAATATGCCTATTGGAGATCTTTTTTTTAGGCCTGAAATGTTATCTAAACTATTAATTAGACATTAATTAACTTATCCAGATCATAATCAACTCTCGATAGCATCAGATACTCAAGATTTTAACTAGATAAGAACGGTTTGCCATTTAAAAATTTAATTTAAAAATGGGAAAGCAAGGCTAAGTCTCTAATATACCAGTGCCCTGGTTACCACAATGCACACATCTTGTCAAAACTACAAACAGTGATAACTTGACTAAGAATGAAGTAATTTGAATGAAATTTTCAATATTTTCATTTTACATTATCTATTTTTGAGCTATTATAGCATATGATCATTATGTCCTTGAACGCGGGGGGGGGGGGGGGAGGGGGGGAGGGGGGGAATCAAAATTTAACTTGGTGACCTGTAGTATGATACCCCATTACAACTATTACAAATAAACAACTTAAGTACAGGGAGACACTATATATGGGTGTTTATTTAGAATACGAAACCAGGAAATTTCTATTCAGTGTAAATTTGTTTTCCCTTAGTCATGGTAAAATACTGATAATAGAAGGGTACAGATAATAAAACACGGATGTGTCTGTCAAACTTGTCCAATCTGATTAAAATATTATAGTTCGTTTCATTTTTGTTATACTTTCAATGGCCTCTACTACATGAAGATCTGACCAGTTGTAGTGAAAGGTCACGTTAGAGGTCATATGAGTGGATTTGGACCATTAATCAATCAATGTTAACGTTTCTAGTGGTTTACCCAAAGTTCTGTGCACTTCACACCAAAACCTTGCCGTAACAGACCGTTTCATTGGCTAATCCCTCACATCATTCAGAATGTTGGTTATATAACAACTCTTCCAGATCCTAGTGTTGTAAAGACAAGTAAAACGAAATTTTGAACTATAAAGAATGAAACGAAATAGGATCTGTGTTTTAATCAGATGGAGCTTTCGACAGAAATCAAATTGTTTGACCATTTTCACATCATGGGTAGAGGTGTGTCTTTGATTTATAGAGTTTCAGTTCAGTTGGGTGGCCAAATGTTTTAAAACGTGTGTGGTAGATCATAAGATCTATCATTGAGTCAAGTGGCGTGGTTTCAATTTCCTGCTGGTACGTGACAAGGAGTAGGGTCGTCTGTCCAACTTCATGGGTTTCCACCCACTACTAAGGACCCCCTAACCTCAAATGAATTATTGAAATAAAATTTAACCATATGTTAGTCCCGAAATAACCTAGTGTTAGTCGAGGGGATGTTTTAACTCTCTCTCTCTCTCTCTCTCTCTCTCTCTCTCTCTCTCGTGACAGTAAACACACCCCACACCCTTCTATGGTTCTCCAGTCGTAATGTGACTGACTATTTTAAAACCTAACTCAATCACCCATTTTAATTACACCTCAATAATTCTATTGAATTTTCTCACGGGACAAAATATTTCTTTATCAAGGCTTCACCTTGGATCAGGCGATATTTATTATGATTTGTGTTTTGTGAAATCCATATATCAAAGATACATTATGTAACAAAATCTGTATATGGGAGTTTTTTTTTGACCAATGTCTAGGTCATGTTATTGTACTACTTTTTAATTCTGTTTTAATTTCAAATATATATATTAATATTCATTAATGCTTGGTTAATCATTAGAATCAGACAGCAATTAATCTGTCAGTCAAATTATGACAGACTGGCAACTAAAGTGGTTGATCTGTTAAATTTCTTTAACTATTTTTTAAATACCTTAAGACTTGATCCATCAATTTATATATTTATGTCAACAGCTTTTATAGTAACTAATTTATATCAAAATACAGATGTATGATGATTCATTAGCTTAGGGAATCTATATACAAGTTGGAGGTCCGATTTATAGGAAGTTATAAGATGTTCAATTGTTGCTGTCAATTATTCGCTCCTGAAATAAAGTGTTGAAGATCCATTCCAAGAATCTGTACATACTTAGGGAACACACGTCAACGAGCTACATTCACTGGAAGTCAAATGGTGTTATTTTTCTTTTGGCTTCAAATGTTATATACATTATCTATTTAGACATTTACTGACGAAAGTCTATAATCAACTCTCTAGATCATCTGATGACCGAGATTTAAATGGATTTGAACTCCCACGAGACAAGTTGAAGAGTAGCGTTGCTCAATAATAAATAATCTACGCTACATTGTTAATTAGTCCGACCAAAGGGGAAGCAATGACTTCTGTTTAGGATTGGACTGGAAAATTGTCCGACATAGTATTAAGTCGGCCAATCAAGGCAGATTAAGTAGTTAATCAAGGTAGGTGTATAGACGGTATAACATGATAAATACGTTGATCACTTAATTATTTAATCAATCCAGCCTATTATCAACGATAATCGGGTTGAGTGGTAGTTATACACTCAGTACACTATATTAATTTTGGAATTATGCATTTTATTCACCATATCCTGATGTCTGATTGGGAATATTCCTGGTCGCACGTTTGGAAAATAGCACAGGACATGTCCGGAATATACGGGCGAAAAAGCATCAGTGGTGCAGATATAGTACCTATTCTGAGGGGACGAAAAATCAAAATCCTGCGCATACATTGACATGTAGGCCTACTTAACATAACCTAAGACAGTTTGAATTTGATATACAAGTAGGCTGTAGTGCTGCTGCTGTCTGGGCAAAATTCCCCTCCCAGCACACTGTTTGGTGTATACCCATATTCATTTTCCCGGTTGGTGCAGAAATATAGGACGTAATTCCAACGAGAGCGTGTTATCTGTTATTTTTTTGTTCCTTAATCCTCTGAACAAATATTGGTGTGGCAAAACCACCGTTCTCCTCCTTCTTTTCTCGTCTATCAGTTATCTTTGTTCAAGTTTACATGGATCAAGCGATCTTGACCTATTTTTTTTTTCAGATCTCATTCATGGAATTCCAGGAATAGATCTGTATCAAGAGAAAGTTATTCTAAGCATCTTGTGATAAGGCTAATTCTATTGTCAATGAAACAAGAATAACAAAGAGTTACGTCACAAATCTACAAGGTCGTTCGGAACAGATGGATTGATGATTGAATTTTTGAAACAAGTTTGGAATGTAGAACTATTTTACAAATATGTGGAGAAAGGGATAGAGGAGTTTAACATCCACTAGGTAATTTCGGGACTAACATATGCGTAAGGGTCTTTAGCAGTGGGAGGAAACTGGAGAACCCAGAGAAAGCCACGAGGATGGACTGGCGACCCTACTCCTTGTCAATGACTCAATGACGGACCTTATGATTCAACGTGCATGCACTAACCATTCGGCCATCCAACCCCGTTGTAAAGGCAGTGTCCAGTTTCAGCATATTGACCGATTATTGTAAAATAAAATTTTTAAACTGGGCCACAGTTGTTAATCAAGCGTTTTGTAATATTTGTGTTATGTGAGAATGTTTATGAAACTAAACAGACTTGAATCTGTTTTAATATCGATATGCAAGTTAATTAAAACTCATATCCGACAGTGGAAATACTCTGTGTCGAGTGGACGTTAAACCCCATTTTCTGCTCTCCCACAATGACAAATAGTTCAATGTTTGTTTTAAATATCTTGTACTTACTTCAGCTGGATTTGATTCGGTCGTAGGCTGATAAACAGTCATTTTAAATTCACAAAATAAATAGTTACAACACAAATAAATCTCTTTAAAATACTGTCACAAAATCTACAGTTGGTAAAAATTCAAAATACACGATTTCTTAATCAACACTCAATATTTTTAAAATATTATTAATCAGAATATCCATCAATTAATTCAAATTCTTCAGTAGTTTTAAATAAGTTTTAAGTTCAGATGTAGCAGTAATAAAAATATTCCACAGTATACTAGTGTATAAAGTTATTTTCTTCACATTAACAAAATTTCCTAAACGTTCTCCTTTACTTTCGGCCGGCCAACTTAAAGTGATGACACCCAGTAATTGTAGATTTTATATACGACATCCTGGTATTGTAATAATTGTAGCCTAATTTATATCCTGTTTATTTATAGAGCGAGACCATTATTTATTTCTATACAAGAGTTGGAAGAATGGGATTGACAAAAATAACTATGTTACAAATTACAATTAGCGTGTTGATAAAAATCTATCGTGGTTTAGGGTTAGTTATGCAATTCGCATCGCCAGTTAGCGACATGGCAAAGGCGGGGGGTGGGGTTGACGGGGTTGGGCAAAGATTTTCTCTTGGAATATTAGCGTGGCACTTTCATCTAAGTTGGCGTTTTCAGAGAATAAAACTGACATATATTTGTGTTACTCAACTTAAGACGCCGGATTTATAGTATACACATCCGTTATGTCACGTGCAGTTTATACCATATAGTTTCATGGCTATACACGTGCAGTTATGATACACGTTATACTTATAACCGGTATAGGACAAAATGTATAAATCCGCTACCTCATAGCTACCCGTTTCCTATTTCGTTCCGTTAGGAAAGGTTTCTGATCGGACGATGTCCTCTCGCCATTAAATTTAGGAACGGTCTCTGACCGGATGATGTCGTCTCGCCGGTCAGAGACCGTTCCTAGTGGATCCACCTGTTTCATAGATGTACGGAAACGGAACCTTCAATTTTCGACTAATTTTCCAAACGGAAATTGCTGAATTATCGAATCAATTGTCTCTGATTTTTTAAATAAACATACCCTGTCCAAATATCTGGGGAAAAAAATATTCTTACCAATAGTATAAATCGATTCGGTCATTACTAAATCTATATTTTTGTCGTAGGCTAGCTACTCCGATAATTGGCCCTGGCCACCTGCAAATTTCGTCAAGGTCGCGATCAGGTGTAAATAGCACAGATTGTAAATAGTCTTCGCTTAGAGCACGTGATTGCTGGCGAGATTGTGGGTTAATTAGGGGTAGAGCTAGTTCTAGAGTTAGGGTTAGGTTTAGTGCTAGCTAGCCCGGTTTAACCCTCGTGACCTTGACGACATCTGCGAGTGGCCTTAATATTTAGACCTGCCCGACATATGCTGGGTGCATTATAACTAATAGGGTTCGCGCATGAGATGAAATGGGGTTTAACGTCCTACTTTTCTGTACGGTACCTACTGAGCTAATCAAAACATACATTTATAAGGGAGAGAAATTAAATGTTCTGCTCCGACTGGGATAATGAAGACGGGCATACGCCATACAGTAGGCTATGGTTTACTCTTACATCGAACTCCAACTGCCAAGGGATCTTTTACGTGAACGTCAATGTATACACGGGACCTCAGAATTCCGTCCAATCCGAGTAAGAGAGAGAGAAATGGGGATTAACGTACACTTGATAAAACTAGGTCATTTCGGGACTAACAAATGGTTAAATTTTTATATCAATAATTCCCTTGCGCGTAGGGGTCTTTAGCAGTGGGAGGAATCCGGAAGACCCAGAGACAACGCACGAGGCTGAACAGGCGACCCTACTCTTGACTCTACAAGCGGGGAATCGAAACCACGCTATAGCAGTGTGCTAAGAGGACATTTTGGACGGGCAGCTCAGCGTTGTGGCCCACTCTTCGTCGAATTCAAGTCAAATAGTTGATTTTTTTTTGTTTTTTGTCCTACCCGGATGACTAGACGCTGTTCCACGTGTTCGTGAACGGCGAGGTAAACGATAGAGGTACACATATTAAAACAATTAGGCTTTAAGCCGACAACACGTGTGATAGAAGGTCATAGAATATGACAGGCCTGGAAAAGATACGGTTAAGATATGCATACACAATACAATAGGCCTAAAATATAAAAACATAATTAGGCCTATATGACATAAATACTTGACATAGGCTAAATTAGACAGCTAGACAATGGTATTACATGTATATTGAGTTACATCAAATATTAATAACAGACTAGCAAAATGTGTGAAGGCTGCAACACTTTGGAATGACAACGCGAGATCTGGGAAATATAGGACTACGCGAAATTTTATAGGATTTTAGTGGAAAGGGGCCAATGCTTCCCGCGTTTGTTCAATCGTATTCAGTCATTATTTTGACGATTAAATTGTAGCGGGAAAAATACTGAGCTAGCTGGAGGGCGGGCGCGGGGGGGGGGGGGCAGACTTCCCAGACACTCCCACCCCACCCACACCAGGACAGACGATAGGATTCGCCGTTTGTTAGATATAAAAAAACCCAAAGAATTAAGGATCTCGAGATATAAAATAAACAGAAATGTTGAGATGTTTATGCAATATGCACGTGTAATCAAACAGTCAAGGTGATATAATTTGAAGGAGAAATTAAAAGAGAAGTTTCATTATAAATTAACTTTCTTTTTTTATTATTATTACCTGTACTCAATAACTCCACGTGTTAAAAGGTACACGTGACGTCAGTTTATCAACACAGGAGGGTGTGTTCAAATTAACCAATCAAAAACACCTATCGTGTGCAAAGCTATGCTGACATTTCGTAAAAAACGCAAGGATTGTCATCTTTTTATTGAAAAATTAATTTATGAATGAAAATATATTAATAGATTTAATCTGTATATTTTCAAGAATCACGCTTTGTATTTTTTCCGGACCTTTTAAAAATAAGTTTTGCATTATCTAAAATCGGTGGAGCAAATGAACCAAATTAAGTTGTTTTTTTTTTTAAATTTTAAAAAGAAAATAAAAAAAATAGACGAATGAATGAGGAATTTTTAAATCTATGCCATCGATACCAAATAAAAATATCTTTTTCTCCGTCAAATGCCATCTTAACATCAACGGATTATTCAAATGAAATATTATGTCATTTTCTGGTAAAAACAAATTCCACAACATGCGACCGTTTCGATCGTTGTCCGTACAAATGTACCGTCGTCACCTTGACTTTTCCTTTTTAACATTGACACCGCAGACAATGGCAGACATTGGTTAGAAAACGTTATAATGGTTGCTAGTATTACGTTATTCCGAGGCCAAAACGCTGTAAACTATTACGGCGCTTTCCACAGCTTAAACCAACTAACACTCGAAACTAGGCATGATGATCCAGACTGGAATGTAACGCATGTTTACAACATGGGGCTGGTAGAACGAGACTAATAATTTCATCATCAGGTCAATCGCGTGTATCCATATAATACACAAGGAACGAAAATCGACAAATGAACTGTTAGAAATCACCATTGCGAATCAAGAACAAATAAGTTTTGGGAACATATTTATAAATTATTTAATAAGAAAGTCTAAGACCACAGATGATAAGAAAAAAACATTTAATTAAGCGAAACAAGCATGTCGGAGGAATGTCGCATTGGCTTGTATTGGACTGTGAATGTACTGCTATGTTATGTATGATAACGGCTACACGCTAAGTGTGAACGACCTCGAGACGCCGATTGAGATAAGACACAAACCCGGAGCCTCTCGAATTACACGGATACACTACATACGAGATAAAAATGAAACAAATAAATTAAAAAGTGTTCTTACCTCTGCCAGGGGTAGGGCCATTGTAGCTGTATTTTGTAGCGCACGGCTATCGATGCTTAGACGTGTTCTGCTAGTAAATAATTCGACCTTTCTGTGACGTCAAACCTGAAATATATACGGTAGCACATTAGGAACATGGAAGTTTTTAATGGATTCCTATTGGTTAAAGGAAATTCGACCTTAAATCTTTGCTATTTAAATTCCGATACTGTTTTTTTTTTCTCTAAATACTATTTATAGGAGGACCACACATAAACAATTACACAAGACAAACCCACGGACACGAACAAATATAAACAAACATTTCAAACAATAAACAACGAACGTATCAACGTATAACAAAGTAAGGGGGTGACCGAACGGTTAACGCGTGCGCGTTGTATCATAAGGTATGTCATTGAGTCAAGTGGCGTGGTTTTGATTTCCCGCTTGTACGTGACAAGGTGTAGGGTCGCCTGTCCAACCTCGTGGATTTTCTCCGGGTCCTCCGTAAGACCACTACACGCAAGCGAATTATTGAAATAAAATTGAACAATATCTTAGTCCCGAAATGACCTAGTTTGTGTCGAGTGGACGTTAAGCCCCATTTCTCTCTAACCAAGTGATTTATAGATCTGGGAGCCAGCCGTAGACGCCCACTGCGCTGTACATTGAAGCCGGTCATAATTTAGTATCGCAATGAATACAACGGAGATGAATAACTATATGGATAACCCGAATTGAGAAGTGGTATCAGGTGTTTCTAAAACATCAAATAAGTTTATATCATGTCTCATGCTCAACGCCTGTCACTACTTGTAACTGATAAATCACGTACCGGTATCCACTTTAATAATTCTTTCTTATCTTCCAGCAAGTAGTTATAGTAATCCAACTTGAAATTATACTTTTCCTTGAATAATAATAATTTTCTTATCGTGTATCGACTATAATCCTTTCTTCAGCAGGTTGTTAGCTTGAACGTGATGTAATTCGTGTAAATATATTTTCTTATCTTCGAGCAGGTAATATAGCTTTAACGTGTAGTACTCCGTGTCGCGTGATAGTGAATGAAATATGCGCACAAATATTTTCTAGCGAGCTATATAGTATAGTTGTAATTAGCTGAGGTATTGCGTCATCATATGAAGCAAGTTACGGTTGATATTTCATGACTGGATGGAACCGGCCAATACGAGGATTCCTGAAACTTCTAAATACAGTAGATAATTTAATAATAGTAGACGCAAGTGGGTAGTATGGTTCCATAGGGAATAGATAAATTGGTATTTATAATAAAGATATCGTTTAGACTGAATATATCGATATCGATAGGGAATTCTCCAATACAGCGTTATTTAACGCCCACTGATCACATCTAGGTCATATTGGGACTAACATTATGGTAATTAGCACGCGCTCTGATTGGGAGCCGCGGTAGCTCAGTGAGTAACGCCCTGGC